GCTACGTGGTAGGTGAACAGAGACATCCTTGAGGACCTACCAGTCTAGAGAAAAGGTGACAGTCCAGTTATTGGAAAAAGCACTGTGGCAACATGAGCAAGGGGAAAAGAAACAAGTGGCTAAACTTTATTTTGTCAGAATATACCTTTAGACATATCAAATCATTCTTGCTTAAAAGGAAGATTAGATTAGGATCCCTTCAGAGCCTGGGAAAGACCAGAAGAGAGGCAAGGACTAGAGAGAAGGAAGAAACCTGAAATTCTGACATCAAAGGAAAATTTTCAGTGTCCCGTTTTACATTTTTGGGGCTTGATCTGTGACAGTAGAACTGTCCTGCAAAAATCAGGGCATTTTTATTCTGGATGCAGAGCAATTAATTTGCAAGTCGCTCTCTCACTAGTCATATGTGGCCTTTAAAAAGTGAGCTTACTTCCTCTGTAAAATAGTAATCGGTTTCAGATCCATGATTTGGCTAATTCAGGATGTGCTTGTTTGATTTTAACAATCAAGAAGGACAAAAACTTTCCACCCTTTTTTTATGTTTTAGTATTTGTCGAGCATGTTCTTACTGTCTTCAGTATTATTAGAGAAACTCTGTTCAGTAAACTCTTTCAAACGGTAAAGGTAGTATTTAAGATTGTTTAACCCTTTCAACCCACTATGTTCAATGCACCAGAACAGCATAAAGTTTAGTATTTGGTACCTAATTTATTCCCTATAGTTTCCTTGTTCGTTCAATCATTCAATCCACAGTTACTTACTGAGTGCCTATCCTGTTTCTGTTTTGTTCAGCACTGTGTCCCCAATACCTAGTGAGGCATTGCCCTAGGTGTTGGGAACACAGTGCTGAACAAAACAGAACTTATATTCTAGTGATGAAATAATAAACAAACTGATCTATAACATAATTTTATATAGTGACAAGTACTAAAAATAAAATAATGAGATAATGGTTAAGCCATTGTTTATCATATGATAATTTAATGAAATATAGACTTTTCTAAGATTCCAGACATGAACCTGTACAAAACTAGTAAATGTTTCCTGAAACATTCTTTGTAGTTGTTGTTTTTGGGTACAGTCAAGTCGATTTCTGCTCACACAGTGACCCCCCCCCGTGGCAAAGTAGAACTGCTCCATAGGGTTTTCTTGGCTGTAATCTTTATGGAAGCAGATCGCCAGGTCTTTCTCCCACAGAGCTGCTGGTGGGTTTGAACTGTCAACCTTTTGGTTAGCAGCCAAGTGCTTAACCATTGCACCACGAGGGCTCTTCAACCTTTGTCGTTACCAATTATAGGATGGTAGACAGACTCAGAAATGTGCCGTCCAGATCCCCCTTCACAAAAGGACTTGCTGCCCCAACTGCTGGGAACGTTTTCCGCTGTTGGCCCCTTTAGGGATTGCCTCAGCTGCAGAGAGCAGTCTTGCCCAAGTTCACACCTTGCCTGGCTTGCCCAGATTTAATGATTGACCTGCATGGGGGTATTAAGGCCCAGTCCAATGTAGGACACTCTGAAGGGCCATTTTAGCTCCAGAGCTCCCTGTAGAGCTGGTTGAGGCTGCCCTTGGGCCTACATCGCAGTTCATCTTTGCCCTCTGCTCAGTGCTGCTTTCTACCTCTCCCTTTTACAGGTGTTGATCCCAAGGGAACTTCCTAATACAGGCAGTCCCCAACTCACGACAGGGTTACATTCCCATGACTACTTCATCATAAATCAGTTCTGTCGTGAGTCAAATATCTCATTTTTTTTTCATTATTATTGCCTTTTATTATCAGTATCTTTATAAATCTAATCTTCATTTGTCTTTGGGGGTTGGAAACATTACATCTGAGAATGATAACAGCAAATTACATGCTGCAATATTGTATATAATACATATCACTAATGATTAGATGTACGAAAAAAAAGATGGTCGCAAATGCAGTTTGTAGTAACTCAAATACGTGGTAAGTCGGGGACTACCTGTAAATAAACATTCTGCTGCCCTAAATTGTTTCAGCTCTGCTTCCCAAAGAACCCAATCTGCAACACAAATGTTACCTGTATCTAAATGTAATATATGGTAGCTATGATCTCATTTGCATGAAGAGAAGGGACTGATTGGGGTAGTTGCTTTCAAACATTCTAGTAGAAAATTCCCTTTTTCAAGTGAAATCTTAAGTGGGATCCAAATATATAATACAAAGGAGAAAAGCAGAGCTGGTCCTGGGTGAGGTGTGGGTGAAGTTTGCTCCTGAGGTACCCCTTTACAGAACAGCTAGTATGTCACCACATTAGAGATTTGCTTCTTTAAAGATTACAGGAATAAAAGCACAGAATTTTAGAGTTGAAAGGGTCCTCTGGAATCATACAGTACAAATTCTAATTCTGTAGATGGAGAAACTGAGGCCCAAAGATGTTTGTGACTTGTCTAAAGTAAAACAAAAAACTAAACAATGGCAGATAGTACTGTAATTTAGTTTACTCGTTCCTGTAGTTCAGTATACAAAATTTTTATTGAGAGTTTAAGATCGTATTTCACGTACGTTCCCAAGTGAAAAAGTTTTAGGAATTCGAGCAAACCAACAAATAAAAACTTTCTAAATAATTTTTTAATTTCTATTATTTTCAAAGATAATATATTTTTAAGCTCAGGTATAGGGAGTAAATGGGTTTCATAAAGATACCAGACTTAACGTTAAGTTTTTGTATGTAATATACTCTGTTTTCTAGGCTATTTGTATTTTGAAGTTAACTCATTCAAGGTTTTATTTGCAAATGTTTTTCAGTTCCCTTCTATTACATTTCCTCTGTGTATTTCACAAGGAGTCCCTGGGTGGTGCAAATGATTAAGTGCTGGACTACTAACCAAAAGGTTGGCAGTTCAAACACACCCAAAGGTGCCTCAGAAGTAAGGCCTGGCGATCTGCTTCAAAAAGGTCACAGCCTTGAAAACTCTATCGAGTAGCTGTACTCTGTACACATGGGGTTGCCATGAGTCAGAATTAACTCTGTGGCAACTAACAACAATAACACATATTTCACAATAAAACATAAACACATTATATAACTTAAATTCTTCCTGACAAGCATTTTTTGTAGATCAAATGCAATTACCTTCTATTTCAAAATATACATTAACATCTATTCTTCTTAAGTAATTACATCAGGGAGAAAAAGTATTACTCATATTATCACAAGACAGCTCTATACCAGCATGCCAAAATTAAAATTATAACCCCCAATGAGTTCTAGACCAGGGTCTTCTTTCTTGTTGATTATACCAGTAGTATCTTTCTTTTAATTGTGGGTGCCCATTTGAGAGGCTCTGGGGTAAAAGAACTAACTGAATTCCTCTTCTTTTGCTCCCTATACCCATGGAACCCCAGAGGGAAAGAACCAGACCTGTCAGCACCCACGATAGCTCCCTCCAGAATGAGAGCCCAGCAAGCCTTCTTTTCTACCCTTTAAATACATGATCACCTGCCTGTGTTCAAAGAAGACCAACCGAAGTCAGATTTCTGTATACGTCTGATATTGCTCCTTTCCTCAAAATGTTTCCATGGCTTCTGGATAATCTCGGCTGTCTCTCTGGTCTTAGTTCACTCTACCAAGCTTTAACTCCTTGGGCTTTCCATTTCTTCCTTAAATATACAAAGTTTCATTTGTCTCAGGGCCTTTGCACTCACCCCCATCTCTCACCCCAAGCTAGTTAACTTTTACTTGTCTTTGGAATTTTAGCTTAAATGTCACTTCATCAGGTAGGCTTTCCATTACTTCCTCCAAGATTAAGTATTCCTTTTAGCCAGAGCAAGCTTCATAATTACATTATATAGTTATTTGTGTGATTATTTGCTTGATCTCCCTCACAGATAATAAGCTCGATGAAGGCACCAGGTCTGTTTTATTTCCTCTGTGTCCCCAAGGCCTACCACAGTTCCTAGCATTTAGTAGAGGGCCCCCACCAATATTTGTTAAACAAATGAATGAGTTAATCAATCCCAGAAAATAAAACTGTATGCCTCCAGTATTCAGGACTGGACATCAAAATATTTTTTTCTGCCTTTCCTCCTTACTATTCAATTTCCCTTTCCTTTCAAGAAGAAAGCACAATAAGTGCAAACAAAGTTTTAAACATGCTTTCTCACTGGAATGAAAATTAAATTCACACTTTGGAAAGGTACAGGCAATATTTTGTTTGTATGAGTTAATATCTGAATTAAAATGTGATCACTGCCATTTATTAAAATAAGCTCATACATTCCTCATATATGCCTAATAAGGAAAGAATTATAAGGGATCCTTTTCTATAATTCTGTGTTATGAACTGCTTACGTAAGGTCATTCAAAATGCTTTTGGAGAATTCCTCCAACGAATTATTGACAATTCTGTGAAATACTCATCACACAAAAATTGCTTTGAAAGAAGCTGTAAGATTTTTTTTTTCAGGAAAATATGGTGGTTTTACATATTTTTTTATATAATATTTCAACTTATGAGCCATGACATGCTTGTATAAGAGGAGGATCTTTAATCAGAAAAGTAAAGCCAAAATAAAAAAAAAATAGGACCATTATTCTGAAAGAGAGCTAGACTTAGAAGAATTATAAACCAACAGTATACTGGGAATATAGATTAAGAAACACACTTAAGAAACTACATACTTCTAAAAGGGCACAACCAAAGGTTTTACTCAGGAAGCAGTCAAGGTCTGCAGTGTTAAGGTTATTGGTTTAGGGAAGGACTTCCTGGTTTCTTTGACTTGAAGATTTATGGATTTATATATTTTTATTTATTGATGGTGGTGGATATTAATGAGAGAGGAAGATGAAGAAACAGGCATAGAGATAGCCTGCAGAGTCCTGCATTTTTACTGTAAGAGAACTACTGAGGGCTAGGTTTAATTCCACACTCCAGTTGTAAGAAGGTAACAACCAAGGCCAGGATGGTAAACGACCTGAGCTGGTTTCACCATGACTGACGACACTGAGAGCTGTGAAGGGTACCATGAAACCTACCTTCCTGTGCACAATGGAGGAACTGGAATTTATTGTGCTTTCGTCCTCCTGCATCATGACAAGCTCAGAGCTGCTCTCATCCATGACCTCCTGCATGCTGTTCACACTGCTGCTCTGGCTGCTTGTGCTCACAGACATGCTTGGGATGGAATGGTTGCTGCCCAGGCTGTCCATTTCCCTGCTCAGGCTGGTTCCATGTTCGCTGTCCTATAAAAATGGAGCACTGGGGTTAAAAAGAAATGACTGGAGATAAAGCGCCAATCCATTGACTAAGCTATTAAGCACACTCAATTCTGCAGTGCCAAGTTGCTTTTCTGCCAAATCTGCAAAGATAAACTTTTTATGCAGTGGCTCCACTACTCCCTCACTATTTTCAGACATCTCAAATTCACTTCTCTGACTTCCCCAGGGGCCATTCTGGACATGGGTCATTAGGCTCCAAATGCTGCTATCCCAGGGCTTTCCCCTTTCATACACAACTATCATATTATCGTCTTGCTATTCAGCAGGCAGAATCAGGCCAGGTTTACAAAAGACCTTGAGGAACTTCAAGGTGCTGGAGACAGGCCGCTGGCCACTCTAGGATATTTGCAAAATAGCAATGGCTACTTGGAACTAAAGTCAAGTGAGAAGAGTTTTCAGGGATTTGACAAGCAGTATGAGCCTTTGCAAGACACTATCGAGTAACTTCATATCTAAGCAGGGATATTAATTCTGCTGTCCTGGACAAGTGATTAAATTCTGTCTCCCTCAAGCCAATTCTATCATGTTTACCGCTGTAATCTTATTAAATATATCTGTTAAATAATACTGGTATTCATCACTACTAGTCCAAAGACTACCATCTGAGAAGTGGTAAAATATAATCAGAACATATAATTTATCAATCATAGTGGGATATCTTTTGATATAAGATTAAATAATATAATTAAAGCAACTTAGCTCCAAATAAACTCTATTTTCAAAGGACTACACTGCATATGTTGAGTCTAAAATGCCCCCTGCCCATCAGTCAAAGACCAAACACATCATGTCCTCCATGGAACCTTCGCTAATCCCTCCAGCAGATTTATTTTCTCCCCATGATGGACCTGTGCGTTGTGATATACCTCTACAGCACATTCCATATTTTGCCCCTCTGTAGGAGTTATTTTATGAATGCCTCTTCTGTGACCCTACATGTCTTTTAAGGCAGACAGCATCAATTACATTTTTGCCCTCAAAAGTCCAGAACTCTTTCACGTAGTAGGTACTCTACAAGTACCTGCTGAAATAAACTGAACCTACTTCTTCATCTTCTTGTGATTCATTCAAGGGTCCATTTCGTGTCTCTTGGAAAAGAATTTTTTTCATTTTTCGATACTGCAGGTTATCTAGCTCACGAACAGCATCTTTTGTCCTCTGTATAAGGTCAATCAGGACACGCAGTGGCCGATCTCGTCGAACAAAGTCATGCTGATTGAGGGAGGAAAGAAAACAGACACTGATAACGAATTTTGCACCTATATTTTTAGGTATAAAATGTAGATATAAAAGTAAATAAAGAAGCATAGAACAGTGCTATGGATTTCATAGAAATTACCAAATATGATTTTGATGTAACGTCCCATATTCCATAAATCTTATAAAGTGTTAACTATGCCTTTCTCCTCTTCCTCAGCCCTATTTTGTGAACTCTGTTTGAGAGTTTACATCGGAATGTTTGAGGCTTACTTTATCATATAAAGTTATAACAATGACTAGAACTTTAAAGAGTAGCAGATATGCTTGTGGCAATGCAGACCGTAGACTATTCTTGTTATAATCTGTCCCACTGCTCCCCTGCCCAGACACATATACACTACCCTTTTAAAAACACTTGTGTATGTATTTTGTTTTCTATTTCTGTGGTCATATAGTGTATGCTTGAAAATATGGCAGCCGTTCAATTTATCCAGAGGCCAGATTTCTGGCAACTTCATCTCTCCTTTACAGAGTTGTATAACCAGAAATTAGGGAAAAGGGCCATTGAGGAGTGGAAATAACTACTCCAAACTTCATAAACTTGTTGGTGTAAACAGTCCTCACACTCAATATTATCAACTATCTTTAACATATATTCTGGTTTCCTGGATTCTCAGCTCATAGCAGGTTAGAAAGGGGGAGCAGGAGTGTGGAATAAAGTATTGAGAACTATTAGGGTATTAGGGCTACCAAGTGCAAAAACAAGTGTCCTTTGAAAGTTCTCTAACAGCTGACAGTAGAGAGAAATTGCATGACTAACATATTGTCTTAGTCATCTAGTGCTGCCATAACAGAAATACCACAAGTAGATGGCTTTAACAAAGAGAAATTTATTTCCTCACAGTTAAAGTAGGCTAAAAGTCCAAATTCAGGGCATCAGCTCCAGTGGAAGGCTTTGTCTCTCTGTCGACCTTCTTCTCTTCGGTGTTCCTCCAGACTAGGAGCTTCTTGGCACAGGGACCCCGGTCCAAAGGACGCACTCTGTTCCTGGCACTGCTTTCTTGATGGTATGAGATCCCCCTGTCTCACTGCTCACTTCTGTCTTTTATATCTCAAAAGATTGCCTCAGGACACAATCCAGTCTTGTAGATCCAGTCTTGCCTTACTAACACAACTGCCACCCATCCTCCCTCATTAACATCATAGAGACAGGATTTACAACATATAGGAAAATCACACAGTACCAGAAATCATGGCCCAGCCAAACTGATATACACATTTTTTGGGGGATATAATTCAAACCACGACACATATCTACCAAATAAACAAACAAAAATGAACAAAGGTTTGTGGGCTCTTCTGCAAAGGGGCAAATGCCACTTACATGGCCCTTTCAGACCCCATGAGTTCACTACTGTCTCAGCGCCATCAGGAAGCAAAATTATGTCGATTAAGTTCTCTTTAAGAAGGCAGTGAAGCACATCATAAATTTTGGCAAGATTCCACAAAAAATACCAAAAAGTGGAAGGGAGAAGTTTTGTTTTTTAAAGGAAAAGGTTCAGGTATGTGGAAAACTCAGTTATATGAAATTACGATGTAAAGATATAGCGAAAATGAGATATAATGTGGTACGCCTTAGATGACAGAATGGATTTCATTTCTTCTTAATTCAAACAGGGATAAATGAGGAGCAGAACCTTCATGGGAAAAGCAATCTGCATGTCTTGTGGCTCCTCACCCTGACTTTGCTGCCAGGGGAGCTGCGGCTTTTGCTCCTGTTTTTTATAAAATATCTTCCTCTGAAATGAGTCTTTTCTGAAAACGAAACACCATACCCAGAAGCAAGTATAACCTGCACATTTCAAGGATGAGAAAGAAAGGGAGAAAGTAAATTATTTTGCTACTCCAGTGCCTGGAATTATATAAAAGCAAATCACTTTCTAGTAAACTTCAAGCTATGACTTAGGATCACAGACTTGTAGAGCAGGAATGGCTCTTAGAAATCCTTTCATTTTCAAGGTGAGGAAACTTAGGTCTAAAGAAGTTAAGTGATTTACAAAGCTAATTAGTGGAAGGACTAAGGCAGCAATCCAGGTTTCTTTATTTTTGGTTTTGTTTTCTGGTGATGTACTACCACCACAATTATCTTTCTAAAATACCAAATTGAGATATGGTAGCCTTCTTGTCCCCATTCCAACCCCTTTTCCTTGTCTTCCTCTACTGTAAGCACTAGAAAGGAAAATAGCTGAATTCCAGCCTTCTTTACAGTTACAGATAATGTGACAGACTGCTGGCCAATGAGATACAGATAGAAGTCCCTGAAGAAGGCTTTATTTTCTAGAATAAAAAGTCAAGGAACATGAGGAGAATGCATTTTTACCTTTGCCCTTTCTCCTTCTTCCCGCCAGGAATAAGAATTTGAGTCCTGGAGACGCAGCAGCCACTTTGTGACCAAGAAGACAAAAGCTACTTGCTACGGAGGATGAAGTACGAAGACAGAAGGAGCTTGGGCCAATAATGAGCTTGTTGAGCTGTTTATAGTTCTGGACTGCTTACAACATCTCCTTTTCCAATGTCCTGGACTTGTTATTGCATGAAATAATTATAACCTTACCTGTTTCAGCCTTTTTAAAAAACATTTTCAAAAAACATCTTACAAACATCTCACTGCCTTCATAATAAAGCCCAGCCTTTTACGGCCAGGTTCCTGCTTATAGTTATAGGCTCAAATCTAGTCGCTCCTCCTTCTTCTTTCTCCTTCCTATCCAGTGCAGAGTACTATTTTAGCTAATTCTAGTCATATTCCATGCTTTTACTCATACTGTTCTCTCTGCCTTCTCAGCTTCTCACTGTTCTCCATAGCTCAGGGGCAGCGTGCACTCATTGCCTCTACTTCTCCTTCATTCATTCCCTAATCTGCTACAATTGTCTATTCCATCCCTACAATGAAAAGGTTCTCAGACTCTCTTAATAGAATGGCTTTATCATTCTTGTAAATACAATGAATGGCTTTATCATTCTTGTAAATATAATGTTTACTTTCAAACATTGAAATAATAAAGAAAAATGCATAGAAGAAAGTGAAAGAAAATCACTCCAAATTTCACCATCCAGAAATAAACATTAATTTATGGAATATCATTCTAAACATTCTCTATCTCTGAATGACGGGTTTCTAGAAATAATTTAAAATGGTAATCTTAGATATGCTAATTTTAGGTATAATTGATAAAATTAAGGTATACTTGAATTTAACAGAAGTAAAACAGACTGAAGTAAAATAATTGCTTAACTTCAGCTTCAACTTCTTTAACAGAAGAGTTATCAATTCCTAAATGATCCTCTAAAATTAAGAAAGAAAAAAAAGATAATGAAAAACCTTTAAGAGATTATAGTTACTTTTGTTTTGTTTAAAACTATATATTTCAACTTGAAATAGTATTACTGACCATCTTATCTGACAGGAAAATTAGTACACTTTTCTTTCCTGCCCCTAATTTTTGTAGTTACCTTATTATTTTTACATTGTCAATGTTTATAACATTTACATTCTGTTCTTTAACCATTTCCATAATTGTACCTTAGTTCAGTTAAGGTTACTTAAATGTATTCAACATAAAAGTGACATTTTAATCAGTGAAGAAAAGATGGATTATTAAATATATATATATTTGGAAACTAAATAGCTAACTGTGAAAAAACAAAAAAGAGCTGGATTTCTACTTTGTTCCTTGTAACAAAAATCTGCATGACCACCCTCCCCCAACACACAAAAGAAGTCCAGCATAAAGAACATCAAAAGATAGATAATATTTTCAAGATTTACTACCAATCAATAAGGAAAAACCAACAATACAACACAAACGGGCAAAGATCATAGAGTTCACAGAAAAGAAAACAGAAATGGTTTTTCAACATATAAAAAATGCTCAACCAAACTCACAGTGAAAAATACAAATTAAAACTACCAGATAAATTTTTCACCGATCTGATTAGCAAAGTTCAAAAAGTTTCAGTACTCATACTTTGTTTGTAGGACTATAATTGTCCTCTTTGGAGGACAATTTGGCAATATCTACTTAAATTTTAAGTCTATATTCCCTTTGAAGAGGAGCCCTGGCGGCACAATGGTTAAGCACTTGGCGGCTAAGCAGAAGGTCAGTGGTTGGAACCCACCAGCGACTCTGAGGAAGAAAGATATGGCCATGGCTTCCATAAAGATTACAGTCTTGGAAACCCCATGGGGCAGGTCTACTCTGTTCTATTGGATCGCTGAGTCGGAATTGACTCAGTGGCAGTGGGCTTGGTTTTTCATACCCTTTGATAAGCAATTCCACTTCTACGAATTTATCCTTTAGATATCCTGATATAGATGCAAAATGATATATGTACAAGGATATTCATTTCATCACACTTTGAACAGCAAAAGATTGGAAAACTGTAAATGGGTAAGTTAAACAAATTATGGTCCATCTGAGAATACTACGCAGCCATTAAAAACAATGAGGTAGCTCTACGTGTAGTAATATGGAACAATATTCTAAGCACACTATAATGTAAAATAAATCAAGGTAGAACAACATTTATAGCTTGCTACCATTTGTGTAAAAATAGAAAAAAAATTGACTTCTATATACATAAATTCTCTCTGGATATTTGTGACAGTGGTTGCTAACTCCAGAGTGGGTCCTGGAACAGGAAGGAGATTTTAGTGTATTTTTACTTTTTGTTAATTTGTGTTACCTATTCAAAAAAATTATTTAACCTAAGCAAAGTAAAATGAAGAATGTACAGTCTTTTTACCCATGCAAAATAAATAGATAAAAATGTTTTTTGCTAATTTAAAATCACTGTTAATCACTAGTCCTTTTATTAGTTTCTCTAGTCTATAATTCTTCCTTCCTCCTTCTTTCCATCCCTCCCTCCGTCAAGCGGCAGATTATCCAATAAGCAAGGTAAGCAGGAGCTTACTTGCGTTTACTTACTAATCTGTAGTGAACAATTTCACATTTTTTCATCATGTCAAAGATTCTGCTTCTAGGTATGGCTGGCATCTGTCTCTCTCCCAATCCCACAGTACCCTCCTACAGCATCAAAGCCTCTTTTTAAATTAACAATCCCTGACAGGGGTAGATGACTCAGTAAGCAAGGTAAGCATGGGCTTACTAGTGCTTACTTACTAATCGGTAGAGAACAATTTCACATAGGTTTCACTTTGATGTGGTATGGTGAAATGCATGTGAAATTGTTCACTACAGATCAGTAAGCACAAGTAAGCCCGTGCTTACCTTGCTTAATGGATAAGCTACCCCTGCCTCTCTCCCTGTGTTGCTTAAAATTTATGAGGATCAGTTTCTCAGTCCCTCTGTTCAGGGCTCTGCGCAAATGCCATCTTCTTAGAAAGGCCTCTCCTAAGCCCTCTCTCCCTTCTTCCCTCCTTCCCTTCCTTCTTTTTTCCCTCTACTTCCCCCCTCTCACTTCCTTTTCCCTCTCTTTCTTTTTGTATCATCTCTAGATTGGCTGAATTTTGTTATTGAGCAGTTTTTTCAAGAAAAACTCAGAAGGTCTGTATTGCCTAAATTTGTGAGGCTTGAAAATGTCAGCTACCTTTATAATTGAAGAGCACTTTGATTTAGTGAAATATTCTTGGTTTACACTTCCTTTTCTTTCAGAACTCTGTAAACATTATTCTGCTGTTTTCTGGCTTTTGAGTGTTCCTGAAAAGGTAGATCTGAACTGGTTTTTTGACCCAAAAGTAAATTTTTTTTTCTTGTGAGTGGTGGGTCATAGGAATATGGTGGCAGAAGTAACAGGGCAAAAGGACTTCACTTTATTTTCTTTTGGTGTGAAGCCATCACTTCGTAAAATAAATCACACAAATACATTTCTCCAGCCTGCTTGGATGAGTTTTTCTTTATCCTTAGAGTTCAGTAAAGTCACCAAGATATGATTTCTTAATCACTGAGGATCAGTTTCATGGTCCCCCTCCTCAGAGCTCTGCTCAAATGCCACCTCCTTAGAAAAGCCTTTCCTAACCCTTTATCCAAAACAGAGCTACTACTGTCACTCTTTATCCTTGTCCCTGATTTATTTTCTGCAAAGATGTTACTACTACCTGACATTACATCATATATTTATTTGTTTATTTTCTTACTTCTTCATTAGAATATAAACTCCATGAGGGCAGGGATCATCTTTTCCTAACATACTACTGCATTTGCAGTGCTTAGAAAAGTACTTGGCACACAGTAGACAATCAGTAAATATTTGTTGAATAAATGACGAGTCTGTTTGATTTGACTTACCAAATTAAATTAAGATCAAATTAAATCAAGATCTAAACATTTATTTACAGAAAAGTTTTCTTCAGGTATACTGTTAAATATTTTCTGCTCGATGTGTTTTGTTTTCTTCTTTAGGAATAATAGGCTTGCATATATTAGAGTCCCTTTATCCTCCACATGTATTATCTCTATGATCATTTTTAGAACTTTTTTCTCTTTCACTTAACTTTATTTTATTTCCTAAAGCCTATTCACCATGTACCCGACTGTTCAGTCAAGTTTATTATATTAGTTTGTTCCTTCTAATATAATTTTGACTTCTGTTATGTTTTAGTTTTTCTTTCATTTCTTTCTTTACCTGTGCCTACTTGCTTTTTATATCCTTCTGTTGTCTGTTACCCTAAAATTTCATTTTTGAATCTTTGTATATCTTCTTCTTTGATTTTTCACCTTTATTTTAATATAGCCAAATTTATCCTGTTTTCTCTCTATTGTTGTTGTTGTTAGGTGCCATCAAGTCAGTTCTGACTCAGAGCGACCCTGTGTATAACAGAACGAAACACTGCCCAGTCCTGTGCCATCTTCACAATTGTTTTTATGCTTGAACCCATTGTTGCAGCCACTGTGTCAATCCATCTCGTTGAGGGTCTTCCTCTTTTTTGCTGACCTCTATGTTACCAAGCATGATGTCCTTCTCCAGAGACTGGTCCCTCCTGATAACATGTCCAAAGTATGTGAGACATAGTCTCACCATCCTTGCTTCTAAGGAGCATTCTGGTTGTACTTCTTCCAAGACAGGTTTGTTCATTCTTTTGGCAGTCATGGTATATTCAATATTCTTTGCCAACACCATAATTCAAAGGTGTCTATGGTAGTGCTTTTGGTTTCCTTTTTTTTTCCTTAAATCTTGTTTATTTTAAAGTAATAAAGATGTTATCTTATGTGTCTGGTGTTTCTGGTATTTTGTTCTGGCTGTGATTTTTCGTAGAGAAACGTGGAGGTACATAGAGTAGTTGCTAAGGTACACAGAGTAGTTCATGTCTAAAACATGTGATAGCTCTACACCAAAGGAGCTTAGGTAGAGTCCTTTGCTCTGTTACCTTTGCCACCATATTCCTGTGGCCTGTCACTCACAATGAAAAATAAATTACTTCTGGGGGGAAAAACCAGTTGGCTTCAGACCTCAAACCTCTTCAGGAGCACCAAACCCAGAAAATAGTAGAATGATGTTTACAGAGTTCTAAAAAAACAGAAAACGTAAACCAAGAATTTTTGGCCCAGCCAAGGTGCTCTTCAAGTATAAAGGCAACTGACATTTTCAAGCCTCACAAATTTATGCAATACAGCCCTTTTGAGCTTTTCTTGCAAAAACTGCTCAATAACAAAATCCAGTCAATCTAGAGATGAAATAAAAAAACAAACAAAAAAAAGGTTTGGATAACATAAAGAAAGAGGTCTTACATCAAATAAAAGGTATTTATATTGTAAAAGATTACCACACACCTCACTGATATTGACACAACATATCTCCTATGTATAAAGTCTATAAGAAAATTCTATATGAAAAGAGATGCTCAAAAATGTGATACTTAAATGAATGCAACATGGTATTTTTATCACTAACATGTATGATGTAATGCTATATAAATGTCTGCTTTATATATATATCATATATCTTCACTGCCTAAAGATTTGGCAACAACCTAACTGAAAATCCTGGAGTTGGCATTTGAACCAGTAGTACACTCTGTTCTGAAACAGCACTGTATTAAAGTTCATATAGATAGTAGTCATAGGAACATCACAATGACGACCAGAGCAAGGAGAAATATTCTTTCTCATAAGGCAAAAAGAGAGGAGGAAAAAAAGAAAAAGATAGGTAAAAAACAGAACTATCCACAGGGAAAACAGCATATACATTGAGATAATCTTATTCCTTCTATGCGTAGCTATCATCTCTGGGTAAATGACGAGGCAACACATTCTAATTTAGTTTGTGATGATGGGCTGCCACAGAATGATTTACTATATTCCAGTACAACATGACTTGAAATCCCCCCCTCAAATACAAATTTGAAAAATTACCCGTAATAGTTCCGCTGACGTTGGCCTTTCCTGAGGTATTTTCTGCAAGCAGTAATCAACAAATCTCCTAAAGGAGTCTGTCCTGTGTGTGCAAATACATTGAAGGAAAATACAGTCAGGGTCTGTAAGGCACACTGATTACTTAAAACAATTTTCATTTATGGGAAAATTTTTGCATTTTTATGAGATGTTCCTTAAAATACTTTGGAATATCAGGAGAACTGGATCATTTTCACGTTTATGGTATCTAAAATTAATTCTTTTAGATAATGACTGTGGACACAATTTCAAGTTCATCAAGATATAAATATATCTTAATAACTAAAGAAGGACAACCATAATTTATATCAGAAAATAAAAAATACTATGTAATAGTTTATATACATTTTTCTCTCCAAAGATAACAACTTTCATAGTCTCTAGCCTATATTCTTCATTACCAATTGGAACTCATCCACTGTCCACAACTTATAACCAGGTAGTAAAACTTGAAGCATGGAAAACCATGAAGTCGGAGAACCCAGAAATATGCTGTCTGAACAAAAACAATTCCTCTCTTGAAAATTCCATTTTTTCCACTCTTATTCAAAATTTCCCCCTTTCTGTAAAAGTCTTCTGGCCCAAATAGTTGCCAAAATGTTGTAAACTTCAGCAAAGAACAATACACCTTCTGAATAGATAGTATATGTTCTATCTCAATCCATTTAAATATACACTTAGTAAAACAAATGACAACTGGAAAAATTATGACATCAGAGAGGGTACTTTATCTCTACTGAGAAGTAATAAGAGCTGCAATGATCAATATAAGACCGTCATGACTTGAGACACTAGACTTGTTAGGAAGGTAGAAGGGCATGTTCCCTGTAGAATTTCAGTTACTACACACATTAAGAGCACCATGTAAGCCATGGTGAGGGCAGAACTAAATAAAAAATATGTGCATGTACAGTTAATACTTGTAAGGCATCAGTGTCATTTATTAAAACATACAATGAAAAAAATGCTTTCTAGGTCAGATATTTAAAATATATAATTTGATGAAAGTGTCAAATGCATACGGTGATTTTCTTAGAGATTTAGAACGATAGCAGAGTCTTACCATTCATTGGACTGTAATGTTGGTGAGTCATTCTGGGCAATGTGATATAAGGCACTCATTGCATTCATGTTGAAAAGGGGGGGCTTCCGTTCCGCTGGAAGAAGATGAAAGAAAAATAATAAAGCAATTATTTTTTTATTTACTTTTATTTTTTTATTGTGCTTTAGGTGAAAATTTACAGCTCAAGTTAATTTCTCATTCAAAAATTTATATACATATTGTTTTGTGACATTGGTTGCAATCCCCACAATGTGACAGCATGCTCCCCCTTTCCAGCCCAGGTTCCCTGTGTCCGTTCATCCAGTTCCTGTCCCTTCCTGCCTTCTCATCCTGCTTTTGGACTGGAGCTGCCCATTTGGTCTCGTATATTTGATTGAACAAAGAAGCATGTTCCTCACGTGTAATATGTTTTGTTTGATAGGCCTGTTTAATCCTTATCTGAAAAGTGGGCTTTGGGAACAGTTTCAGTTCTGGGTTAACAAAGCATCCAGGGGCCATAGTTTCGGGGGTTCTTCCAGTCTCTATTAAACCATTAAGTCTGGTCTTTTACGTGAATTTGAATTCTGTTCTACATTTTTCTCCTGCTCTGTCTGGGACTCTCTGTTGTGTTCCTTGTCAGGGCGGTCATTGATGGCAGCCAGGCACCATGCAGTTTTTCTGATCTCAGGCTAATGAAGCAACTCTTAAAAGAAATCAGGTGGATAGAGAAATAAGGAACGATGAACAAAGCTTTGCTGCTAAACTAATGGCTTATTACCGTCATCATGTCACATAATCCACTTATTTTCATTTCTAAGGTCATCCCAGGATAGACATTCAGAAGAAGCTGTTGGTCATCTTAAAGTACACTGGCAAAGCTCCTAACAGAACCCATTTCAAGAGTGAAAGAAAAAGTTGATTTTTTGCACGTTTGCAAAAGTTGGCCTTTGCCTGTCTCCCCACAGTAGGTGTGAACATCTTTCCACGATAGATACGAACTTCTTTGTGTGTGTCTGTGCGTGTGTGTGTGTGTGTGTTTTAAATAAAAAGAAATACGTACTCATTAAAAAATTCAGAAAGCACAGAAAAGAAGAATGAAGGGGAAAAAAAGATGACTATGGAATGGAACATCTTAAACATTACTAACACAGCATGGGAGGTCAAACGATTCACTGAGCACTGTTTGAAGGCTCATCCAAGCCAAAGGACTGCTAGGGGTGGAGGGGAAGGGGGGAAGTAGAAGGGAAGAAGAGGAGGATAAAAAATAAACACGGTCTGGTCTAGCCCATTCTAAAGAGAAACTCAGTGCGTGAGGTATTTCTTAATAGAGGATTGACTCCACCCCAGCCCATCATGATTTCTTTTTTGGAACTCCTATACACAGCTCTCCTTTGGTATGCTGCTCAACTATTGCATTTACACAAACATACAAATATTCTTCTCAAAAGAAACCATAAGCTCTAAGAACAAGATCTTATAACCCTAATACTCTTATTCTTTTATTTATTCCCCCAGACTATGAATGAAATGCTATTCACAGATTAGGTGCTCCATTTGTTGACTAAATCAAAGAAACGAGGTTCTAGTCTGAGGATGCTTAATTCTATGCTATTTGTAAGGTATTATGGCATAGAAGATGGAACCACTATCTTACTCTACCTTGATTAAACAAACAAACCAGCCGCTGTTGAGTAGATTCTGACTCATGGTGACCTCATGAATGTCAGAGTGCTCTATAGGGTTTTCAGTGGCTAATTTTTTAGAAGTAGATTGTCAGGTCTTTCTGAGGTACCTCTGGGTAGACTTGAATCGCCAGCCTTTCAGTTAGCAGCTGAACATGTTAACCATTTGCAGTATGCAGGGATTCCCTACAGCACTTACCTTAACAGATTTTATATACAGTCCCACTTTCTAATTCATAATCTGATCTCTGATTTCACCAAAGAACCTTGACTTTGAAGTAAAGATTCTTCTATTAACCATTCCTAAAATGGGGAATTAGACTTATTCTATGCAGTTCTAAGAAACAGAACAAGATATAAGGGTAGAAGTTATAAAGAAGACATTTTCACTCATGGAAGGAAGAATTTATGAAAAGCCAATGTGGGGAAAAAAAAAAAGAACCCAGAATGGACAATGTTGAGAAGCTTTAAGTCACTGACAACATTGAAGTCAGGGACAACTATCAACTATCCATCACTGATGCTTTGGAGGGGTGTCATATAGTCTTGATTAAACGGTCTCTCATACTTTTGGAATGTGATATTCTATGATTCTACAAATATTTTTATTGACCTCTCAGTGGGATACTTTACACTTACTGTTGGGGACTTAATTATGTCCCCTTAAAATATGTGTTGTAATCCTAACTCCTGTATACCTGTGGATATAATCCCATTTGTTAATGAGGCCATATCCATGTAGGGTGTGTCCTAGACCTAATTACTTGTGAGACATAAAAAGAACAGATTAGGCACAAAGAGAAGCAAGCACAAAGGGGGGAAAGACAGACGCCAGATGGAGAACTCCAAGGAATGCAGAGAAGAACTCTAGAAAAACTGAGACAAGAATTTTCCTGAGACTGGACACAGAGCCTTCCCCTGGAACCGGTGCCCTGAATTTGGACTTCCAGCCTCCTAAACTGCAAGAAGTAAATTTCTTTGTTAACACCACCCACTTGTGGTATTTCTGTTACAGCAGCACTAGATGACTAAAACACTCACCAAAAATCTACCAGTATTATAAGGACATGAACTTTTAGTAAATGGAAATAAATCTGAAAGTTGCTATGTGGACAAATGGATTTATATCTGTTTCAAATGCAGAAGAAAAACAACTCGTTCAGGTTTATTTTATTTTTCAGGAGGTGGGTTATAGAAAGTTTCTAGAGTTTGGCCTTCTGCAACTTCAAAAACTTAAAGCCACAGGGACTAGGAACTCATCATGTAACCAGCAATGGTTTCCCATCACTCTCAGGACATAGCTCAAAACCTTAAATATGGCCTATGAGGCCTTCATTAACATGGCCCTGGGTACATAGAGCCTCATTTTGAGTGGCACCGCTTTGCCCTCTTCTCATACCATCTTTCACTTCACTGAAAGAACCAAGGTCAGCGTCTTTCATGCATGCTGTCTTCTCTCTCCGGACTCTCCTTCTACCTTCCACTCCCTAACCTTTATCTGTCTAATTCTTGCCAATCCTTCAGTTTTCGGCTTAAATATAATTTCATTTCTTCATTAATTTAATATATATTTATTCAGGGATTATCATATGCTTACAATCACTTCCTCAGGAAAGACTTCTCTGACCTCTAGGTCTCCCATTAAATTTTGTCATTGTAAATTATACTTTTCATTTCTACCACATATCACAACCATAATTAATTATTTGAGCAATTCTTTATTTTAATGTGTGTTCTCTTTGCTAAACTTCATGAGGGCAGAGACAACGTCTCTTATGTTCATCTTTGTATCCCCAATGCTGAACATAGCAAGCACCTGGTACACAGAAGGTGATCTGATACTACTTGTTAAATAAATAAATGAAAACAAGGCAACGTAAGTCAAAGAGAGAACTTTGTCAACGAAAAAAGAATCTTTGTGCAGCAAGCTGTCCCAAAAATGACTGAAAAGAGACTAAGTCTTGGGGTTTATGTCAAATACTATATGATGATGGCCCGATTCACTATCAGAAGGACAGATGCCCTCTCTCACTCACTGGCAAAAGGTAGAAAATGCAAGCTGCTCTGAAGAATACTGAGTTGCAAAGGAGATACAGCAGGGAAAGAGGATTAAAGAAAGTATGGTGGATTAATACGTCCGTGTGTCACCTTTAAAGCCATGGTCTTGTAACTCCCACCCAGGTGACTGTATGATAGGATAATTGTGGCCTACCAAGGGGATTGGTCAGTTTTGCCTTAAAAGAGGGCCAATTCCAGAGCAAAGAGGAGAGCCCACCGCCACCAAAGAAGAAGAGAGCCACAGGAGATGGTGCAGTGGGCTTCCTGGCCCATGGAGGAAGAAAGCTGGGTGCTTTTGGGCAGAGACTGAGGGCTAGGGAGAAGTCTACATCTGACCCACGAATTTGGGACTTGCCAGCCTCCAAAACCCCGTGAGCCATTTCCTTTATATGGTCCGTGAGTTCTATGAGACGTTGCAAGAAATTAGGGAACCCAAAGACAGGAGGGAGAGTATTGAGGTGAGAGGGAGTAGTTGATGTTCAAGATGATGCAGTGGTACAGCAGCTTGGAAACGGCAGACATTTGGGACATCTTTAACCTTTGCCTCATAAGAACCAACGTTGTGCTGATCGTTATAAAATAAATTATTCGTTTAGAAAGGAAAAAGAAATTTAGGAAAAAGAAGATGAAAGAACAACAATAACAAAGCCCCAATTTAACAAGAAGAAAGGTAGTAGCTCAGATCTGAAACAGGAGTGGGGAGCCCAACAGGTAGCCAGCACTCTGCCAGCGAACAAGACCAGAAGATAGCTGGTCACAAGACAGTAGAATCACTCTAGAAGAGAAGCACATGATAAAGGTATTCCAACCACAGCACAGTTCCACAGTCTGGGAAGCATTCTATAAATATTAGCTTCAGATGGCCTCACCTATGTTCAAGTACTTTGCTAGATGTGCTACATAAATACTCTAAGCCATGGTGAGAGGGTTCATTGCTAGGCTAGAATACTGAACAGCAAAGGTTGGCAAACGATAGCCCACGGGTCAAATTCAGCTGGAAGCTTGTTTTTGTAAATAAAGTTTTATGGGAACACAGCCATGTCCATTCATTAACTTAATTTCTATGGCTGCTTTCAGGCTACAACGGCAGAGTAGAGTAATTATAAAAGAGACTGTATGACCTGCAAAGCATAAAATATTACTATCTGGCCCTTTCTAGAAAGTTTGCCAACCCTTACTGTAGCATACAATGGTCTGCACAGAAGCTTCTATATAAGCAACAGAATAGAAACTGGGAAACCACCCTGTGATATGGAATCCACATTTTCTCAAATGAAAGCAAAAGGTAGAAGCATTAAAAAAAGAAAAAAATCTAACTAAATTAAAAGAAAAAGTAGTGATTTCTATTCAGATTTTTTTTTGTGTGTGTGTGGATGTTCTATCTGTGTTATATGAGATTAAGGTTTAGGAAGGTCCGTTCAGTGTAGCTGATGGATACTGCTCTGCTTGGCAAGGATCATGTTAACTTACAGCACGTAGACTGAGCTTTATTTTAATAAACAGATCAAACAGTGGTCCTATCTTTAGAGCAATACTCCCTGAAAAGGCAAAAGATTTCTTATCAATGAATGTGGTTCATAACAATAAAAACTGCTACCATTTTTTGAGTTCCTACTACATGCTAGGCACTCATTGTCTTAGACATGTTACTTATATTATTCATAATTCTCATAATAGCCTGGCACAACAGTCATTATTATCTCAATTTTCCAAGTGAAGAAACTGAGGTTCAGCTAGGTTAAATTATGAGACCAAGTCACATAGTAAACGGCTACACTGGATTTCAACCCAGTCCTATAAGACCCCAAAGCCTGTGCTCTTTTCACTAGGCCACAGTGCCTCTCAAATAACCCACGGCATTTTATAATAGATAGTACTAGTATTTCCAAATGAAAAAGTAAAACTAAATGCAGCATTAGAAAACTAAATAAAACCAAACGCGTTGCTATTGAGTGGATTCCTACTCATAGCAACCCTAAAGCACAGAGTAGAACTGCCCGGCGGGGTTTCCAAGGAGCAGCTGGTGGATGTGAACTGCTGATCTTTTGGTCAGCACCTGAGCTCTTAACCACTACATCACCAGGGCTCCACACAACCCCTCAAAACAGCTATCACAGCATCCATCATTTACAGATTAAAAATGAGTGCCTAATGGGGAACAAGAAAATTCTAGGCAAAGAAACTGCATAACAACAATATTTATGTCTTTCCTTTTCCTGGAGAATTCATTTCTGAATAAGGTCAGTTCCCTGAACAATGCTGATATACCATTTGCCAGCTTCTACCATGATCTCTGCTGGTGAACTAAATGTCTGTAGTTTAAATAGAAGGACATCAGATTAACTTCTCTTAAAACTGTTGCTGTTGTTGATAGATGCTGTCGAGTCGGTTCCGACTCATACCAACCCTATGTACAACAGAACGAAACACTGCCCAGATACTGTGCGATCTCACAATCGTTGCTATGTTTGAGCTCATACAATATATCTGGTGACTGAAAATTTCCATGTCCAAGAGTTTTCAGAGGATTCATGCATTTAACTAGTTCTTTCTATGGAAGGGAGCCCTGGTGGCACAGTGGTTATGCATTCAGTTGCTATCCAAAAGGTTGGCAGTTCAAATTCACCAGCTGCTCCTTGGAAGCCCTATGGGGGCAGTTCTACTCTGTTCTATAGGGTTGCTATGAGTCAGAATCGACTTGACGGCAATGGGTTTGCTCCTTTTTTTGTTTCTATGGAAGATCAACTTTGCTGCTTTGCTGCCCTCAACTGGATTTCTCAAATACTAGGCAAAAAGTTGGTGGTTTGAATCCACCCAGAGGTGCCTTGGAAGTAAGACCTGGAGATCTGCTTCCGAAAGATCACAGCACTGAAAACCCTACGGAGCAGTTCTACTCTGCACACATGGAGTCGCCATGCATTCAATGAAAGGTCAATTTAGCAAAGATAAGTTCTAAAACAGGCATAACCCTGTAGGAACTGTAGATTTTGATCCCGAGAAAAGAGGGAAAGGGCTGATAATATCATCATCTTCTGGCTTTGTGATGTTACCTCAGTAATTCAATTTACAGATTAGGGTGTTTTCTGACATACAAATTTTTTTACAAGAGATGTCATGAGGAAAGGGGACAACAAATTATTCAGGCAATATCCACAACTTCCAATCTAATTACAACATTAAAAGTACAATTTCAAACATGTTGTTTGTACCTGGAATTTCATTAAACCTCAAACATTACTTAGAGAAATAATTTTTTAGGATTATATCTGAAGCAGTTTAACTTTCTTATTTCATGTAAAAAAATACTTCTTTTAAAGTAATGATAGGCAGATAAAGACGTGTTAAAGCTGTCAAAGAGGTATCTGTACGATTTATTATATTATTGGTATAAAAATTTTTGTATAATTGCTGAGAAGCTAAATGTCCTTGATAACAATTTTATTTTCTGAATATTTACTGAGTTTCTACTACTACTTATCAGAATCTCAGACACCACTGACTGTAAGATGAACCACTATTTTATATACAGCTAAGAAAAATGTTGCCAATTATAATTATAGGATGTTGTTAACTGTAAAATATCCCCTATTTTTAAATAAATGTTAAAAAGTTGAGAAAAAATGTGGATGAAATACAGTTCACATTAGGACTGTGCTGATAATGGTTAACATTTATAGAGCATGTACTATGTATCAGATACAATAAATACTCATTGAAATCCATATTTTCATTTAATCTAGAAAATCCCCAAAAGGTAAAGGATCTTATTATGCAAATTTCACAGGGAGTTAAAATAACTCTGCTAATAAATGGCAGAGCTGGAATTTGAACTCAAGTTTATCTAACTGCAAAGTCTATGCTCTCAAGCATAAATCAATACTGTTATTGTGCCGTTGAGATGATTCCGACTCACAGCAACCCTACAGGACAGAGTAGAACTGCCCCATAGGGTTTCTAAGGTTGTAAATCTTTACGGAAGCAGACTGCCACATCTTTATCCTGTAGAGTGGCTGGTGGGTTTGAACTACCAACCTTTTCGGTTAGGAGCCGAGTTCTTTAATCATGGCACCACCAGGCAATTTGAAGGAATAGCTGGTATAGAAGATAAGACAACAATTTGGAAGAAGGCTACTTGGCTCTTTAATTCAGTACATCATTTTATAAAAGGCAATTAAAACTAGGCTGTTGTTATACATATTTCAGTTCATTTTTATAAGGAAGGTAAAATTAGAAAGTAAGTACATACCAGGGACTGTCTCAAAGAGAGCCAGTACTAAGGTATTCCTGGGATCCAAACTTGTTTTGCCCAAAGTCAACTGCTACTTGAAACCTGAGTCATTACTACATCTAGACAGTACAAAAAACTGATGTAATGATGATCCCGACTTATCATGAAGGGATATATGTTGTTTGCTCTTTCAAAGAAGGTTGTAAAGGGTAAAGTTCATGTTACGTTTTAGAAAGATTTTGGTAAGAAAAAATAGTTAACCTAATAGGTGGGCATCTGAAGAGCTGAACCTTACTGGCTATAAGTTCAACTCAAAGTGTCATAACTGAGGAGCTGCTGTTATGGTCTCAGTGTTAAAAGTAAATGTTTAGTTCAGTTTCTACTTCCTAGAATACAAATTATGAAAAATAAGAATAATCTGTCATAATTATAGATTACTACAAATGATAATAAAATAATTAAATATAATAAGTGTATATGAACATAATTAGCTAATATTGAGCATTTACTATGTGCCAGATACTATGTTAAATACTTTACATATGTTCTCTTATTGAATCCTGAAACTATCTATGATACATGTATTGTTGTCTTCACTTAACAGATGAGAAAATTGAGGCTTAGGGAAGTTAAGAAATTTCCTCAGGTGACATAGCCAGAACCACCATGTTACACAACTCCAGGAGGCATCATTCACACCCTAGACTATGTGAATGCCTGCTGGAGTTACACGCACCTAAGTGAGGGTAAAGCCAAGACTCAAATCCAGGGTATCTATATAAAACTTACTCTTTTTAAGATTATATGCTATGCACAGAGTAGTTTTTTTTTTTTTTTAAGGAATGTACATTTATTTCTGATTTTTAGAAGTTAAATTATTAAGTGTTTTAAATACATAAAATAGCAGAATATTATCACAGTGACCTATCACTTAGATTTCTCATTATTTTGTCCTATTCGTCTCAGATTTTTTCCTTCAAAAAAAAAGATACAGATATAACCCATTCCCCTTCCTCCCTCCAGTTTACTACTTTTAAATTGTATCCTTCACATCTATGTTCTTATGTTTTATTAGTACATATATATGCTCATAAACAATTTATAAAAATATATATAAAACTTTTATAACTGGTATCATACTGTACCTACACATTTGCAACTTTCTTTGTTCAATAAATATTCAATGTTATGATTTTGAGGTTTATCCATGATGATACATGTTGATCCAGTTCATTCTAAATGCAATATAGTATTCCATAATTATCCATTCTCCTTTGGATGAAAATTTGTTTCTACCTTTTTTTTTTTTCCTGCCACCAGAAACAAGGTTGCTTCCTTGTTCATATTTTCCAATGTACATGCATAAGGATTTCTCTAAAGTATATACTTAGAAGTGAAATGCTGGGTCACTGAGAATGCTACTCATCAACTTTACTACTCTGCCAATTTGCACTCCAAAATGGCTGTACCAATTTACATTTCTACCAACAGTGTATATGAGTTCCTGTTTCCTTAGCAGCTCCCTCAAATTTATTATCCTCAGAGTTAAAAATTATGGCCAATCTGATTACTGTGAAATGGTTTTAACTTGCATTTCCCTGATTACTAAAGAGGTTGAGTATCTTTTGATATTTCTTGTCCATTTAGGTTTCCTCTTCAATGAACTGCTTGATTATATTTTTTGCCCATTTTTCCACTGGTTGTTTGTCTTTTTCTTTTTTAAACTATAGGAGGTCTTTATAAATTCTGAACCAATACTCTGATAGACATATTTCAACCATCTAATACTCTGATAGTTCTATATGTTTCCTAGTCTATGGCTTATCTTTTAAACTTTGTGTTTTACATATAGCTTTATATTTTAAAGTAGTAAAAGTTATCATATTTTTCTTTGTTTTTAAAAAATAATTTAGCAAAATTCCTCCCCGTCCAGATATCAAAGGAGTCCTGGTGGCACAGTGGTTAAGCACTCGGCTGCTAACTGAAAGATCGGTGGTTCGAACCCACCAGCCTCTCAGGGGAGAAAAATCTGGCAGTCTGCTTCCGTAAAGATTACAGCAGTTCTACCCTGTCCTATAGGGTCGCTATGAGTCAGAATCAACTTGAGGGCACACAACAACATCCTCATATCATACAGATAATCTCCTAGAGTAATAATAGGAACAACAATAATACTTACATAGCGCTTATTATGTGCCAGCACGTTTTAAGTGTCTTATACACATTACCTCATAAATCTTCATAACAACCCCATGAAGTAGGTACTATTATTATCTCAATTCTATAAGTGAGGAAACTGAGGCGCAAAGAGACTTCTCTTAAAAGTATTGAAGTTTTACTTTCGGGTATTTAATCAGTCTGGAGTTTATTTTTGTGTATAAGCTAGAAATCTAATTGTAGTTTTTATCATATAAACAACATTGTCTCAGTATGACTTACTGAATGGGCCAACTTTTCCTCACTCATCTGTATGCCTTTTTTGTGTTATACTAAAATCCCACTTATACACGAGTCTGTTTCTAGGTTTTTTAGTCTGTTCTATTGGCATTTAGTCTCTCCCTACACAAGTACCAAACTGGTTTAATTATTCTGCATGGATTTTGATACAGTGATCTTCTGTCCAAATTCTATTTCTTCGAAATTATCTTAGCTAGCTTTGGTCCTATGAATTTGGCCAGTACCATCTTGTCAAGTTCTGCATAGTATTGCTGGAAGTTCATCATAACCTTTCTAAAGTACATAAATATTTCTGCTGAATCACCAAAAAAATCAGTGTAAATAAATTTATTAGATCAATTTCCCATGCAATGAAAGAACGAATAGCATGATACTAAAATCTAAAAAAGAAATCTACCACTTCAATATCCATCAATAGAGGACCAATTAAATAAGTTATATTATAACCATATAATAGAATACTAAGATGCCATTAATAAAATGAAAACATTTTCAAGTTACTAATATAGTAAGATCTCCAAGATACTGTTAAGAAAAAAATTAAAGTATAGAACCACATGCATATGTTAACTTGGGTGTGTAAAGAAATAACTTAACTATGTATTCCTATCTGTTTGTGTAGTCATAAAGAAATGCTGGAAAAAGACACAAGCAACAAATTACAGTGCTTTCCTGTGAGTGTTGGCAGAGGTGGGATAGAAACTGGATGGATAGGACCAAGGATGGAAGAAGACCTTTTACCACATGCCTGTTACATTTTTTGATTTCTAAACCATGTGAATCTATTACTTATTGAAAAAAAATTAAGTAAATATTCTAAATTTCCTCTCTGAATTATGTTCATTTTTTTACATTAGTATCTCATTTATGTAAAAAAAATCAGAAGAATTGTGCATCTTTACCATATGTTTCTTTGTTAGAAGGGGTGAATGAAGCAATTGGAAATGTACTACAAAGTTTCCAAACTCTTCTTTATAGGCCAAACATCTTAGGGAAAGAGGAAACCATAGTCTGAAAATGAAACTGGAACACAGTAATTTGGAGTCCAAGATAGAAGAAATTAAAAAAAAAAAATTAAAATCTAAATTTAAAAATTTGAACAAAATTTTTTTTAAAGAACTGATTTTTTTTTTTTTTAGATTAAGGATTTTTAATTTAAACATGTACAAATATCTAGATAAAGGCAGTGTTGTGCTACAGCCAGCTAATACTGGCTTTGGAAGGCCAATTGTGGATATCTTTTCCCAACTCTGCATTCAGCGAATCACACTGGTAGCTTGAATTGGCTATAGTGGGAGTATTTACACCATGGAAATTGGAAAATTTACAAATCAGGGCTTCCCATCCCCCAGACAGTCATTCGTTAAATCTACCGGTATACCACTGGATGAAAGCAACTTTAAGATATATTAAAGTTAAAAATATACAACAGAGAAGAGCAATTCCGTAGTATTTTAGACAATGAGAGATAATTTGAACAATATCTGGGGAACAATTTTATGGCTGGAGGTATCTTTTAATATGAAGCTTTCTCTGAAATTGCTCTCTATAGGAGTCAGATCTTTGACAAGTCTGCTCTTGCTTCTTTAGATTTCCTTAATAAAATTGGAGTGTAAATTAAGGTAATGAATATAACAGTGAAGGTAAAAACAAAACACAACAAAACTGTTGCCATCGAGACGATTCCCACTCATAGCGACCCTACAGGACAGGGTAGAACTGCCCCATAGGGTTTCGAAGGAGCAGCCTGGAACTGCAGACTTTTTGGTTAGCAGTCAAACGCTTAACCACTGTGCCACCAAGGCTGAAGGCAGGACATATATTATCAGCCATGGGATGGAGAATGAATATTTTTCAAATACTAGTACTTTCTACCTTGTGTTCCCACATTTGTTAACTGTCATATCTGTTCAAACTCCTTTATTTAAATTACTAACATGAAAATGCAACAGAGAGAAAACAATCTTTTGATGTTATATAAAGTCATAGGAAAAAGTATAATAAATTCACATTGCCTGGAACACACACAGCAGTAGCTAATTAAATATTAGCTGGATGAATAAAGTAACAATCATAATAAAGAGCAGTTCTCAAAAATACAATGAAATCTATAGAACACTTCAACACCTCAACAACAAAAAGACAAATAATTCACTTAAAAAATGGGCAAAGATATGAACACATACTTCACCAAAGAAGACATTCAAGCAGCTAACAGACACATGAGGAAATGCCTGCAATCATTAGCCATTAGAGAAATGCAATCAAAACTACAATGAGATACTATCTCACCCCGACATTACTGGCACTAATCAAAAAACAGAAAATAACAAATGTTAGACAGGTTGCGGATAGATTGGAACTCTTATGCGCTGCTGGTGGGAATGTGAAATGGTACAACCACTATGGAAAACGATATGGCGCCTCCTTAGAAAGCTAGAAATAGAAATACTATATGATCCAGCAATCCTACTCCTAGGAATATATCCTAGAGAAATAAGAGCCATCACACAAATAGACATATGCACACCCATGTTCATGGTGGCACTATTCACAACAGCAAAAAGATGGAAACAATCTAGGTGCCCATTAACAGAAGAATGGATAAACAATGGTATATACACACAATGAAATACTACGCAACAATAAAGAACAATGATGAGGCTGAAAAACATCTCACAGCATGCATAAATCTGGATGGCACTATGCAGAGTGAAATAAGTCAATCACAAAAGGAGAAATATTGTATGAGACCACTATTATAAAAAGCCAAGTAAAGGTTTATACACAGAAAAAAACAACTGATGATTACAAGCGAGAGGAGGTATGGGAACGGGAAATCACTAACTAGGTAGTAGATGTCATGGATTGAATTGTGTTCACCCCAAAATATCTGTCAACTTGGCTGGGCATGATTCCAGTATAGTGTGATAGTCCGCCATCTTGTCATCTGATGTGATTTTCCTGTGTGTTGTAAATCCTATCTCTGTGATGTTGATGAGATGGAATTAGTGGCAGTTATGTTAATGAGGCAGGACTCAACTACAAGATTGGGTTGTGTCTTGAGCCAATCTCTTTTCAGATATAAAAAAGAGAAGCAAGCAGAGAGACAGGGGGACTTCATACCACCAAGAAAGCAGCTCCAGGAGCAGAGTGCATCCTTTGGACTTGGGGTTCCTGCATTGAGAAGCTCCTAGACCAAGGGAAGACTGATGACAAGGACCTTACTTCAGAGTCAACAGAGAGAGGAAGACTTTCCCTGGAGCTAGTGCCCTGAATTCAGACTTCTAGCCTACTAGACTATGAGAGAATATACTCCTCTTTGTTAAAACTATTCACTTGTGGTATTTCTGTTAGAGCAGCACTAGATAACTAAGACAATAGATAAGTGTTAACTTTGGTGAAGGGAAAGACAACACACAATACTGGAAAAGTCAGCACAACTTGACCAAGGCAAAGTCATAGAAGCTTCCTAGACACATCCAAACACCTTGAGGGAGAGAGTTACAGGGGCTGGGAGCTGGGGGCCATGGTCTCGGGGGAAATCTAGATCAACTGGCATAACATAGTTCATAAAGAAAATGTTCTATATCCTACTTTGGTGAGTAGCGTCTAGGGTCTCAAAAGCTTGCCAGTGGCCATTTAAGATATATCTATTGGTCCCATCCCATCCAGAGCAAAGGAGAATGAAAAAAACCAAAGACGCAAGGAAAATATTAGTCTAATGGACTAATGGACCACATGAACCACAGCCTCCAACAGCCCGAGCCCAGAAGAAGTAGATGGTGCCAGCTACCACAACCATCCACTCTGACAGGGATCAAAACAGAGGGTCCTAGATAAAGTAGGAGAAAAATGTAGAACAAAATTAAAATCCACACACATACAAAAAAGACCAGACTTACTGGTCTGAAAGAGACTGGAGGAACCCCTGCGACTATGGCCTCTGGACATTCTGCTAACTCAGAACTGAAGCCACTTCTGAAGTCCACCTTATAGCCAAAGACTAGACAGGCCTATAAAGCAAAGAATAACATGCTTGAGGAATGTGCTTCTTAGTCTAATCAAGTATATGAGACCAAATGGGCAACACTTGCCCAAAAACAAAGATGAGAAGGCAGGAAGGGACAGGAAAACTGGACAAATGGACATGGAGAACTCAGGGTGGAAAGGGAAAGGGGGAAAAGTGCCGACACGTTGCAGGGATTGCAACCAAGGTCACAAAACAAATTGTGTATACATTTTTGAATGAGAAACTAATTTGTGCTGTAAACTTTCACCTAAAACACAATAAAATAAAACAAAGTACAATGAAAATAAATCACTTTTTACTCACCTAATTCAATACAGGTGATCCCAAGTGACCAAACATCAACTTTCCCATCATACTGTCCTTCATCCATAGCTAGGATCACCTCTGGTGCCATCCTACCAAACATAATGTACAAAACTCAAGTTGTAAATTAAAAACAAAATTCATCTAATAACGTAATTCAATGAAATAGTTCTTCTTGAAGGTATTCTAAAATGCTTATCTGATAAAGATATTATTTTCTTACACAAATCATCTGGAAAAAAAACACTCTTCAAAATATATACAATATACTTGGTGATTTACATGAAAGAATTCATTTTTTTCCATAAATCCTGGTTCTACCACTTACTATCAGTTTGATTTTGGGCAAATTACTTAACCTTTCTGTATGTCAGTTTCTTTATCTGTAAAATGGAGATGATTCTAGTAGCTGCCTCATAGAGATATGTAAAAAAGTAATATATATGAAACACTTAAAAACAAATAAGTTACTTTAAACAACATGAAAAATGCTTTACGGATTTATATAAGCAATATAATCAGCTGTTTTGAAGATATTAAAACTAAAGAAGAAACAAAACAAAGCGAGGCTATGCTATGGATGTTACTTTACTTGTTTGTCCATAATGGATTTTCATTAAGAGGCTAGGAGCCATATCTGCTTAATATGCTTTGAACAGAACTGTTCTCTACTAGGACATGCAAGTAGTTACTTAGTAAATGCTATTTGATGATGACGGAAAAAAATTCAAAAAGTACTTTTTTTTTTACTTGGTAAGTAAATTTCCAGGGATGAATAAGTAATCTTCCAAATTACACTGAAAATTCAATGTATTTATGAAGGAAAGAAAGGACTCTGAATAGAAGGGGGCGAAACTAAGTCAGAATGACAAGTAGGTAAAAGCATCAGAGAACTCAACAGAGACAAGAGCTTGATTTCTTTCACTGAAAGGTAACATTTATGCTTGCTTGCTAGAGAAGGTTAAAGAAGCTACCTTGTTCTTCCCTAGAGTTGCTGCCCCAAGAGAAAAGTTCAAAAGAAACACCAAATTAAATTGAAAGCCTGAGCTTGGTCAGTGAGTTGATAATCCTGCTCAGTTTACACACAATGACATCAACCTTATTTGAACAATTTAAAGTCATTGTAAATTTTATACTAAGTCAGAGCGCTTCTTTTTTGCTAGTGAGTTTTCTCTCCTTCTCTAATGAAATTTTATTTTCAGGCATATGGTAAGACAATGTCAAAAAACCATACCAAACCAAACCAATGCTATGAGTCCATCTTGTTCGTGTATGCATATTTTAAAACTATGTCATGTTTTCCAATTCTACATACCAGTAAGGTGTGCCCACGAAGGAGTTGGCAGGAGAAGCCACTGAGGCAGATCCAAAATCAGCTAGTTTCACCTGACCTGGCTCTGTTAGAAGAATATTTCCCGCTTTAATATCCCTATAGGAAAAAATAAGAGGGTTAGAAAGTACTTTTCAATTCTGATTATGGAATAGGTCAGAGCATGCAATTAATAAGACAAAAAGTTTATTAAGAAATCTTGCTCAGATAGCCAGAAGGGGATTTAGTAATTACTGCATGTTGTCAGGGGTCCCAGATTCCTGGGTATACTTACAAGCAGGTCATAGTAACTACTTAAAGGCGGTTCTTTCTTCAGGGGGAGGGAATGAAATGAGAAAAAAGGCAGACATGGCAGAGAAGGAAACCTAGTTAGTTGCTACTCTTAAAAAAAAGCATATTCTTAAATGCTAAATCCAGTCGCCGAAAGTATTCCTTGTGCTGGGAAAACCGGTGTCATTTGTAACTGCCTTTTTTTTCCTCCAAATTACGTGACATTTTTGGAGTCTAAATAGATCTTCAATGAATCTGTATTGACTACCTATCAATAAACCTCAACTACACACATACCTTTTCTTTTTTGCCTGTGACCCTTTCTCTCTGCCTTTATTTTGTAACTGCAACTCTAAGGCATTTGAGGGTACATGTTATATAGAAGGTGTTATTTTAAAAATAACACTGTACAGTAAAAAGTAGACCCTGAAAGATCAAAACAAACAAGGATTAGGAGTTAAGAAATTGCATTTCTATTGTATTACTACAAAAAGAATTGCAAGTGGTTACTATTAAAGCTATTAGATGTTTTATGCAGTAAAAAGCTTTAAAAATGGGATTTAAAAAATGTATTCCTTAGTATGATAATTTAGAATGAATTTAAAAAAGGCATGAGGTGTAATGAGTACTAGGAACCAAAAATTGTAAGTTGATGGGCAGTGGAAAGATACAGTAGAGAGAATGAGGAAAAATTTATGTCAAGTTGAAAATGATAAGGCTCATATACTTCCAAAACAACTTTTCCAAAAATCTTCCCTTGCAAATTCCGTTTCCTTCCTCATGATGACATTAGGCATTGGCAGAGAGAACTAAAAAAAAAGTATTATTTATTTCTCTTTACAACAGAAAAATAATATTTCTCTATTATCTTCAAATAGAAGACTGACCTGCCTTCTAACACAAAATAATAAAAATCAAAGACACAGTATTTATTTTTAAATAAAGAGCATCCTTGAAAAGTTTTTTTTCCTTTCAACCTTTTTTACATATTAAAGAAGATAAAATAGAACACAGACTAAATATTAAACTAATGTGCAGAATAAGGTAATAAAGTTACAAAAAAACTGGCTTTAAGTAAAAGCAGGTAAAGTCATCATAAGCAAGTTGGCATTCAGTAATAGACATCTTAGTACCTAAGAGACAGATTTTTCTTTAAAAAAAGTTATATCTATAGATATTATGGTACATGTATTTCATCAAAATTTGTTAGACATGGTTAGACTCATTCCTCACTCTTATAAATAAGTCAAATTTAGGGCAGAAATTTTGGCATGCCTAATACGTGGAAGTTCTGCTTTTGCAGTACCAGTAACTGGTGACACTTAAACTCTAGGATGATTCAAACAGGACCAAAAGGGGAACCTATGATCTAATAGTTTCACTTCTTCCTAGTAAATGTAAAGTGTTTACTTTTGTAAGTCATATCAGATGCTTTATACCTACCACATATCCCAACACTTCTCCTACCATTCCTTAAAGCAAATGTACTAGAAGTTCTTGACTGAGAGGAGGAAAGATTGCTTAACATCTTTCCTTTGGAGAAGTTAGTAGAGGGAGGTGAGAGTGGTGGTAAAGAAAATATAAAGTAGAGGAAAGCCCTGGATTGGGAGTCAAGAAATTTGGGTTTCAATCCTAACTCCATTACCTAAGTGCTGTAAAACTGTGGGCAAGGTAGTTAAATAGTTCTGAGCCTCAGTTTCTTTACCTGCCAAATAAAGGTAATAACTTCTTAAGTATCTATATGCACTATAGAAATGCAAAATATTATTTAAGTAATAAAGCAGCAAATATTTATATAAGATTGACTTGTTATTTACAATAGGAAAGGGAGAAGAAACTCATCTAAGAAATAAAATATATGGAAGACTGATTTTCTTTTCTACTCTTCTTGGCACAGTATCAAAAGGTTGCTGGGTCCTTCTTCAAATGTCCCTGTAATACCCAGCCTGGAAAATAGTTACCTACAGAACGGAGATGATGTAACTCTTTGTGGATATATGGGAGAGACGGAGAGATAGGAACTAAATTCTAGCAACTTTACTCCTTACACCCAGAAGCAGCAGCAGTCTTGCTTCCCGTAAGTCCTTAGGCACACTAAAAATTGGAACATGCACTAATTTTCAAGGTTCCTTGAATAGATAGTCCTGTAACTGGAAAAACAAAACATAACTGGTCTCTAATCTTACCTATGAATCAATGCATGAGAATGCAGGTAGGCTAGCCCCTGCAAAGCACCCTGAGTAATGGCAGCGATCTCAACCTCCTGAAGCGGTTTCTTATGGACTAAAGAAGGAAAACAAGTCAGGAGTATATGATCAGTTTCATTCCTTTTTTATTTTATACAGCTATACAAAACAAAACAAACCCACAGCCATCGAGTGAATTCTGACTCATAGTAACCCTATAGGACAGGGTAGAACTGCCTCATAGGGTTTCCAAGGCTATAAATCTTTACAGAAGCAGACTGCCACATCTTTCTCCCTCAGAATAACTGGTGGGTTCGAACTGCTGACCGTTAGTTTGCAGCCGAGTGTTTAACCACTGTGCCACCAGGGCTTCACTATACAGACCAGACTGATTTATGCATTCTCAAATGACAACTGGGGAACACATTCACCTCAATACACAGGGTCTATCATTTCTCCAGAATAACAAAAAATAATCAGATAACAGGAAACCCAAGTGCAATTAAAAAAAAAAAAAAACCAAAAAACAACCCAACCCCAAACAAACAAATCCTTTAAAACAAAACAACAAAGCCTGATCTTCACTGAGTGATGCACTGTTAATTTACTTAACAGTTGTGCAAGTCAAGGCCACACTGATTCCGACAGGCCAGGCCCAAATTTACCAGTCCCTTCTGACATTTTAAGTGCCTGGAGTGTTTAAGGTTACATTATTTTCCTCTGCCATAAAACCATCTATAATTACCCCTCCTAAATACAGGTTTTCATTATTTGTGAAGGCAGCTAATAAGCAATTCCTATTCAGAGATCAAGGATGATATGAGAAAGCTTTTTTTAAACACAAATTTTTAACACTTTCTGGTTATAACAGCATTTGCAGAGGAGATCTGGGTCAGTCATGATATTTGAAAAGGTTAACTATCAATATAATCTGATAACATCTACCTCTATTTCATACCCACACATGAATTTGATGTTCTTGGTTATATACCACATCGCAAGGGCCTAACAGTTCAGCACTACCTGGCTGAACTAAAACAGCAGAAGGGTTGCTAATCATCCCTCAGGTACTTGCAGTGACACTGCAGAGATAAAAGTTTGCACAGCTTATCCACACAATGCTTAAGTCCAAGTCATCATCCATTTACTTTGCCCAAACTGCACTTTAGTATAAGAAGAGCTATCATTCTGTCAAGGTAAAATAGAAAGGAGGCAATAGTGCTTTTATTCTTACCTTCTAATAAATCTGAAGCTGAGCCTAAGCAATATTCCATCACCAACTGTAACAGATTAAAATAATAACCAGAACAATAAAAAATTAATAAGAAACTACTACTAAAAAAACTCCTTCCCCCCAACAAAACAAAACCAAGAAATTAAGAATACTAGCAGAATAAATACTCTGACTTACCTGAACCTGAATTAAATTTTGGTCATCTGGCACTAATTGATTTCTACAATTTCCACCATTTCATTTTTTGTTATCGCCTACTTGGAATTAGTCTAAGACTAAAAAGGAGCTGAATATGCCGACCTTTTGGTTAACAGCTGAGCTCTTAACCACTGAGCCACCAGGGCTCCTACATGCTCATTAGAAAACATAAATTCCCTATAATCATCTAGACATTGTAATATCAACGTATTGATTCCTCTCATTTTTTAAATGTGGAGACATATGTAAGTGAATATTATAGATAATGAACATTAACCTCTTATGTGCCCTGTTTTCTTCTTTAATTAATTTTGATGGTAATATTTCAAAATGGTGTCATGTACTTTTCTCATTTCTTAAACTGAGCAACTGAATACGTACATACAACTTCCTTAAATTGAGTATACTGAATATGAACATAGACCTTTTAAAAATTGAATGGATGGAATATGTTTATAGTTAAATTTACATTTTAAAAAATTACATATTTAAAACAGTGTTTTTGTCACAAATATTATTTTCCCTATTATTCCATAACAGAAGGGCAAAATCCAAGTGCTAAATCTCATGTTTCATGTCTTCAGAAAATCCCCCAAGCTCTCATTTGAAGCCTATTTACTCTTAGATTGCATAGAGTGCTAATAAGCTTGGTTATCTGGTTTCTGTCTAGGAGTGATTTGCTAGGCTAATTCACAAGGGCACCTGATCTATGGCTGGTTGGTTGCTCCTGACACTAAACAGCTCTAGTTGCTCTGCCTTTCAATTACTGGGTCTGCTTTCTAGCTTCCCCGACTACTTTCTTATGGCCAAATAATTCTTGTGGCTATTTGTATGCATGTCTCCAGCAGCTCATTTCCTATGAGCTCCTTTTAAATAGTCTATCAAATCAGTTGAAGACAGAAACCAGTTAACCAAGCTTATTAGTACTCTTTGTAATCTAAGAGTAAACAGGCTTCAAATGAGAACTTGGAGGGTTTTTTGAAGACTTGAAGCACATGAGATACTGTACTTGGATTTTGTAAATCTAACATTTATTCTGCGGGCCCAGTATCTCTTTGTTGACTCCTTTAAGATATCTGAGATTGTCAGAGACCTGATTTCCAGATAATGAGATATTCCTTTGATGAATTCCTTTGCTTAGAAACAAAAAACAACCCAAACCCGTTGCCGTTGAGTCAATTGCAACTTATAGTGACCCTATAAGACAGAGTAGAACTGCCCCATAGGGTTTCCAAGGAGCACCTCGTGGATTCAAACTGCTGACCTTTTGGTTAACAGCCATAGTTCTTAACCACTATGACACCAGGGTTTCCTTGCTTAGAAAGGAAGCTCTATATATCTTAAGCATTGCTTGAACCAAAATATTTATGTTTAAGTATACTGTTTGATACAGCCTACCTGGGAACAAAAATTCCATTCCCTAACTGGAGATCATGAACAGGAAAGGACTTAGCACATGGTAAGCAATCACTAAATCATAGTTAAAATGGACTTTAAGTTGGAATGTGCAAACTGATAAAGTACAAAGTACATTTTCATGCTCTAAATGGTGCCTAATATACCAACCTGAAAACAGATACACAATCATATAAAAATATACCAAGAAGATAAAGTAGAACAAAAGACTGTTTCATTTTAATCGTATGCTAGACTCTATTTGGTAAAAATTAGTGATGGTAATATGAAGCACAGTTCAGAATTTTCAGGGAATTGGAGTAGGGGATGAGAAATGACAAACATACAAATTCCAGGATAATAATAAAAGGCCCTGCCTTTTAGTTTGACAAATAAGTCATTATAAAATGATGTTATCTTTTCACTATTTCTTTGCTGAGAGTTTATAGAATGGAATTTCCCAAAGGCTAGATATCATATTTAATTTGGAACATATACCATATGGTACTTTCTGAGATATTAATAAATGTAAAACACTGATAACGAAAGTCAAACGGAACAGAAACGGGACTCACAATTTTTTACAGATCAAATACATAATAGAAAAGAAAAAAAAATTAAACTAGGGGGGAAAAAAAGGTACTAGAAGTCCTCCTACTTACCCAAGCAGTATGCTCTTTCAAATAACAACCTTTGTATTCTATTGTATTGGGATGCTTCAACTGTCCTAAAAATTTGACTTCCTTAAGAATATCTTGCCATTTCTATTGAAGAAAGGAGATGTTTTAATTTTTAAACTGAAGATATTACTTTATTATCAAGTATACAAACATGCAATATCCTTTTTATTATTTTAAGTGGACATAAAGTAAATGTTTAATAGATGAAGAAACTATTTAAACTGTGTTACCTCTTTAGTTTGAGTACACAATGTAAATCTATCATCAAATATAATAAAGCCATTACACTAACCCGTGTCCTATCCTGCAAAATAGCTGACTGAGCTAGAATATTAGGAACATTTATTATATGATCTATAAGAAGGAAAAAAAATTGTGATAAAGAAATGTTTAAAGAACTATGTTTCTACTGCCAATTTCATACTAACTTGCTTGTGTCGGTTTACATATACAACTGTCTTACCTCATGCATCTGCTTCCCACTATAGGACATTTTCTTAACTGCCACCACCTCATTGGTACGAGCATTTGTGGCCTGTGTTAAGAGGACAGAAGAAAAATAAAAAGAATTAATATTTCAGCCATAAATATTTGAGTAGAGACTTTTTTAAAAATAACATTCTCACACTTCATTATCACAGTTCCAAAATACTTCAACTTTTGAGAGGCTACATAGACATTTCCACCCTACTTTAAGGCACACTTTCTCTTTAACCCTTTCAAACACATGTAAAGATTGTAGTATAAAAAAGGATTAGGGTTTAATAAAATATATTCAATCAAATAAAAAATGTGATATTTCCAAAATATCCATACTGGCTTCACCATGTAGACAGTCCACTAATGGCAATAGAGAGCCAGTTCAATAAATATGATATGGTATCAGATAATGAAATAAGTATTAAAAGAATGAAGTGATCTATATGTACATCTAGTAATATGAAAAGATGTCAAACATATTATGAAAAAAAACCAAGCTGTTCAGTTTTGTTTCTATAAAATAACAATAATGTTAGTATATGCGTAAAAAACTTCTGGAAGAATTTACACCAGAATATGTATCGATGATCTCTAGAGCATCGCTTTCTGTGACGATGGAAATGTTCTATATCTGCACTGTCCAAAACAATAGCATGTGAAATGTGGATAGTGTAACTGAGGGAATGAATTGTAAATTTTATTTAATTTTAATTAACTTAAATTTAAATAGTTAAATGTGGCTAGTGGCCTCTGTACTGAACAATGTAGAAGGAAAGACGAATCTTTTTTATTTCCTTTTATATAGTTTCTTACTATCTCACTTCTTATTGCTACTAATTTCTGAAATACTTATGAAAATCCAAATACACAGAGGTATTTCATCAAATTAATAATTTCTATCTTCTCTGAACATAACATATACTTTCAGCTGACTGATTCTACAAGAGGTGTGACAGCCTACAATTGACTTTAAGCATATTTCCTGGCATCATTCTGGGTAAAAGCTGTAAACTACAAAAAGGCTACAGTAGAATTACAATGTGTAGGTGTAAAAATACTGGTTGTTAGACTCTAGTCTTTCTGGCTTGCCAACATGACTATGACCCACTGACTTAAATTTAAATAGTTAAATATGGCTAGTAGCCTCTGTACTGAACAGTATAGCAGAAGGTAAGACTAACCTTTTCTTATTTCCTTTTATATAGTAGTATATATGAAAAGTACTACTTAGCAGTACCACTCTCTCTGAAATCTTCATAATTCACTCCTCCATTCATTCATTCAGCAAATACTTATTGAGTGTTCACAATCTGTCAGATGTTGGATTAAGTGCTGGGGATAGAACTGTAAACAAATATGTCCAGTACCTATCTTTCCTCTAATAGGTCAGATAGACAGTAATAAAACTAAAACCACAACAAATGAATGTCAGATTGCAACTGAGACATATACTATAAAGAAGGGTATGTGTTACTTTGAGAATTTAAAATGGTTAGTGAAGTCAGGAAGGGCTTCTCTGAAGAAATGAGGCTTACCTGAGAACTAAAGGACAAAGAGGAGTTAAGAAGGTGAAGATGGAAGGGAAGAGCATTCCAGGGACCAGTTTATGCAAAAGGCCTATGATGGATGACCAAAGGAAAGCAATTAAAGCTAGAACAATGAGAGCAAGGGAATGTAGTTCAGGTGTAGACAGGGACCACACCACGAAGGGCTTTGTAGGCTGGCCACATTGCAGATTTTGATTTTCAGCCTAAGAACAATGGAGAGTCTCCGAAGGCTCATCGCAAAAGGGAGGTCAGATTTACTGGGTTCCCCCGTCCCCACCCCAGGCCCACCGGGACATGAAGAACAGACTGGAGAGAGACCGAGCGGATGCACAGAGACCAATTAGGAGGTTAGTGCAGCTGTCCAACTAAGAGATGTTAGGATCTTCTTGCTTACAGTGCTACGAATAATAAGAGGAAGAATCTATTAATAGTGAGGGAGGAACAACACATATAAATATTACTGTGGCCAGTGGGAAAATTCATCTTTATGTGACCACTATAAATAATAGGTTAAAGCTTTTTGTAAGTTTTATACTAATGTGTCAGTATATTCCCTTTAATCTGTTATTTAATGCCTATGGGTTTATATGGAGCCCTGGTGATGCAGTGGTTAAGAGCTCAGCTGTAAAACAAAAGGTCAGCAGTTCGAATCCACCAGTCACTCCTTGGCAACCCTATGGGGCAGTTCTACTGTGTCCTAAAGGGTCGCTACGAGTCAGAAACGACTCGACAGCAATGGGTTTCGTATGGGCCTGTACTGTTCACTTTTGTATATGGGCAGTATCTAGTTAATTATATTTCAGTATCAAAGCCATCTAGGTATCTTTGTAATTTCTACAAATAATATATATTTAGTGCTTACTGTAAATAGGGCATTGTCTTAGCGTTTAGAATTGCAAAAGGCATACACTCTAGATTAAGTAGGCAGGACTGGGCCAAAAACCAAATAAATCATTAGGTCTTCTATAGGCTACTAGAAGATACGTCTCATTTTGCACCTAGTACAAATGTCCTGTTAGTACGTTTCAAAACATGTTTGGTTTATCGTACTCATACTGAAACACTGGAACTCTGAGAAGAGTCTGGCTGCTTTTTAAAATAGAAGAGTCAAATAGAGATTGGAACCACCATCTGACTGGCCAAGAGAGATTCTGAGAGAAGAATTAGTTGAAAAGCAATATAAGAAAAGTAAAAAAAAAAAAAAAAAAAAAAAAGATGACTGAATAGTGTACCTCTGAGCAAAACAAAAAGATCACAACAAATATATACAGCGTGTTTCCAGTTTTGAAAAGTTCAAAACTAGGCAAAACTGACTAGGGGTCGAAGTAAGTGGGCTACGGTACAAAGAAAAGCAAGGAAATAATCAGCATGAAAATCAGGATAGTGGATACTCCTAAGGGGAGGAAACAGGTCATGACTGAGGAGGATACAAAAGAGGCTTCTGGGGTGCTGGCAATATTCTATTTCTTGATCTGGGTGGTGGTTATACAGGGATTTGATTTTTAATTATTCTTTAAACTACATATTAAAAATATCTGTGTGTACTATGCACACTTCTGTGTGTATAATATATTTACCATTTAGAATGCTTTTTTAGAAAGTGTCTCTGTGAATAAGGAAGATTATATTTTGACTGGGCCTTAAGTGTTACTCTGAGCCCAAAGACTTACATAGGAATGTTAACTAGAAAATCAGTTTTCAGTCCCGGAAGATCAGATAATGATAAAATGAAACTGAATGGCAGCTGAGTATTAAATGGGGGTGAGGGCAGAGCAGTGGTGGCAGTGCTGAGCACAGACACCAAATGATGAGGAAGAGTTCACAGAAAACTCAGGCTGAAAATTTGGTTAGAAACAAAAGGGAAGAGCTAAAGATGCAAGTCTTAAAATCTCATTTGGAAGGAAAACTAATGATAAGCACTACCTAGATGGCAGAACATAAGGGACCACTTAAAAGGAATAGTCAAATATTGGTTTACATGTATATACATCTTTCACATAATCTTGTTTGAGAGTATGCACACACATGTATACATCTCAGACAAAATTTGATAACAGATTTGGAGAAGAAATAGGTAATAATTAGTACTTAATGTATTACTTGCTTTAATAGACTAATACTTCTAATGAAATGTTTGTTACATGGATGAAGCAAACTTCTAAGGTTATCTAGATTAAATTAACGAACTATAGTTTATGTAAAGAAGTTCAGGTTAATGAGCTGTGTTAACATTTCAGTTGGTTATCATTCTTCTCATCAGAAGACAGTCAAATCTTTGGAATTTAAAATGATTCCAGGGGGCAAGCCTTGTACTCCTTAATTTAAAATACTGCCTTGATGTTACTGCACTAAAAATCTCTGTCAGTCCGTCTGTCTGAGTTCCTGTCTTTCCATCTATCCATCCATTTCTCTATTCATCCACCCATCCATGTAACATTTATTGAGTTCCTACTATATGGCAAACATTAGACTAGTTACTGGGGATATAGCAATGAACAAAATGGACACAATCCCTCTCCTTATGAAGCTTATTATTTAATGGGAGGAACATAAATGAATCAAAAAAATCTCATGCTTAGTTATTTAATTACAACTATGGCAAATGCAATAAAGTACAAGCACAAGGTGTAGTGAGATCATAAAGAAGAGTGCTAATTTAGTGTTGGAGGGTTGAACAGGAAAGTAACTCCTAAGCTGAGACCTGTAGGATAACCAAGAGTTAGAAACGGATAAGGATGCAACGTGCAAAGTTTTCTAGGTGACGGGAATAACATATAAGGCCCTGAGGCATGGTGCTCAACTTCAAGCTTATCACTATTTTACAGGACCTCAACAGCAGATTCAGATGATTTATATACCACTGACTTGGAGACCTGGTGGCATAGTGGTTAAGAGCTGCAGCTGCTACCCAAAAGGTCTACAGTTTGAATCCACTAGCAGCTCCTTGGAAACTCTAAAAGGCAGTTCTACCCTGTTGTATAGGGTCGCTATGAGCCGGCATCGACTCAACAGCAACAGGTTTTGGCTTTGACTTAGATAACACCTAGAATTCTGGGGCCAGCTTTTCAGTAATGGTAAGTTGCCCCTACTATTGATATCCTTCAATCTGCAGAACAAATATTAAAACCAAGTGTATTTTACAAGTGATAGCTACAATGTATAGAGTTCCAACTTTCTTAATCTGATTTATCTAAACGATTCTTTTAAATTACTTACAAAATAAACTGCTCCAAAACTTCCATGTCCAATTTCATGCAAATCAATAAAAAGTTCTTCAGGATCATCTTTGTAGAACAGATCAGCAAGCTCTGGGTCCTTTGACACCCCTTTAGGCATGATGTCCAGTATTGAGAGCACTTTATTTTTTGATATCCCAGTCAGCTTTATCTCTCATTGATAAATATTCTTTTGGTAAATCTTCAGCACCTGTGGAGAAATGAGGTTTGCCATTAACTTACTTCTAACACATTTTGTTTGGTGGCAATACAAATAAAAATTAATATTAAAAAGCATCGTTTTCTTGAAACTTAATAATAAAAAGAAAAACCAAAACCAAACCCACTGCTGTTGATTTGATTCCGACTCATGGTGACCCTATAGGACAGAGTAGAACTACCCCATAGGGTTTCCAAGGCTGTAAATCTTTGTGGAAGCAGACTGCCACATCTTTCTCCCACAGAGTGGCTGGTGGGTTTGAACCGCTGACCTTTTGGTTAGCAGCTGAGCACTTTAACCACTTTGCCACCAGGGCTCGTAAAAAGACAAATATCCTCAAATAAAAAAAAATAGGTAAAAGATCTGAATAGACATTTCTCCACGGAAGATATACAAATGGCCATTAACACATGAAATGATGCTCAACATCATCAGTCATAGGAAAATGCAGACAAAACCACAATGAAATGCCATTTCACACCCATTAGGATGGCTATAATAAAAACAATCAGATAATAACAAGTGTTGGTGAGGATGTGGAAAAATTGGAACCTTTGTACACTGCTGGTGAGAATGTAAAGTAGTGTAGCTATTTTGGAAAACAGTTCCTCAAAAAGTTAGACATAGAATTAACACTTGGCCCAATAATTCCACTCCTAAGTATATACCCAAGAGAAATGAAAACATATGTCCACACAAAAACTTGTACACGAATGTTCATAGCAGCATTATCACAAAGCCAAAAGGTAGAAACAACCTGTATGACCATCAACTGATGAATGGATACATAAAATGTGGCAAATCCGTATAAGGAATATTATTCAGCCATAAAAAAAGGAAGGAATTACTGATACATGCTACAACATGAATGAAACTTGAAAGCATTATGCTGAGTGAAAGAAGTCAGCCAGAAAAGGTCACATATTGTAAGATTCCAGCAATAACGAATGTCCAGAATAAGTAAATTCATTGAGACAAGAAGGGTATCGGTATATCAAAAGGGTATAAAGGATATGGGGCTTCTTTGTTCGGTGATGAAAAAGTTCTAAAATTGATTGTGGTAATGGTTGCCCAGCTCTCTGAATATACTAAAAACCATTGAATTGTACACTTCAAATGGATGAATTGTGTGGTATGTAAGTTATATCTCAATAAAGCTATTATCAAGAAAATCACATCTGCTCTAACTAATAATGAGATAAATAATAACAACTAACATTAATTAACCACTACTATGTGTCAGACAACCCTAAAAACCTTAGATTGTCTCCTTTAATCTCCACAACAGCTTCATGAGGTAGAGACTTTATTATTATCATTTTATAGAGGAAACAAAGACTTTGTGAAGTAAAACAACTTCCCCAGGGTCAGGAATCTAGTATTTGTCAGAACTGGGACTCAAACCCAGATATGTCTAACTATAAAGCCCATCCTCTTAATTAATATTAATTAAACATACAGTAGTATAGATAATTAAACAACTCTTTATCAACCACTGGAAAAACTGCAATAATTTGGAGGCTATGCTAAATGTCCACTTAAAGAGGCAAGTTATTCTGCAGCTGTACAAAACATTCTGAGTTCAAAGTTTCTATCAATAAAAGGGCATCATTTTGACATACTTATATGTTGATCTGTGAAAGACCAAATGCTTTCCTGCTAAGATCAGAAACAAGGGAAGGATGAATGCTCTCTACAATTCTATTCGACATTGTGTTGGGTGTTCTAGACAGTGTAATAGGGCAAGAAAAAAGAAATAAAAAGCGTTAAGAAAGGAAGAAGACTATTTTTAATGACAGTTAACAATCATCTACGTAGAAAATTTAATGAAATCTATAAAAAAAAAACTACTAGAACTAATAAGTGAGTTTAGCAAAGTTGCAGAATACAAGATCAATATGTAAAAATAAATTATATTTCTACATATGAACACTTGGAAAATCAAAATTTAAAAATATCATTTAAAATAGCATCAAAAACAAGAAATTCTTAGGGATAAGTCTGACAAAAGATGTACAAGATTTCCACTGAAAACTACAAAACAACGGTTACAGAAATAAAAGGTACTGAAGACATATACTGTTTGTATGGGTCAAAAAACTCAACATTGAGGCTTCTTTAGAATTGGAAATTGAAGATAATATCTTAGAAGTTTACAAATTGATGAAAATACATTAATCCAGAAAGCTCAGCAAACCCCACAGAGGATAAATTCAAAGAAAAACATATGGAAGCATATCATAGTTGAACTCCTAAAAACCAAAGATAGAAAATCCCTAAAAGATGACAAAGAAAAAAAGATACATTCAGGGAAACAAGAAGAATAATAGCTGACTTCTCATCAAAAACAGCTGAAGCCAGGAAACAAAGAAATGACATCAGTAAAATGCTGAATGTGAAGCAAACAAACAAAAGTCATTCAGACCAGTAGCCAATACCTACCAAAAATATTCTTTAAAAATTTAGGGTAATCAAATTGACAACAGCAACTTGAAATATTAGATAGGAACCTTAGGGTGCAGTGAATTTATGTTAATGGCAGAGGAACAACTCAGAAAAGGAAGGTGAGAATGGTTGCACAACTCAAAAAATGTAATCAGTGTTACTAAACGGTACATGTAGAAACTGTTGAATCAGTGTATGTTTTACTGTGTATATTCTCAACAACAACAACAATAAAATAAATTTTACAAAAAAGCATTGGAAATGGAGAAGCTGACTCTAAAATTCATATAAAAATGCAAAACAACCAAAACAACTTCGTAAAACTGGAAAGTTAACACAGCCCAATTTCAAGACTTATTATAAAGCTGTAGTTTCAAGGCAGTATGATAATGGTGTAAAGACAAACAAGTAGATCAATGCAACAGAAAAGATAATCCAGAAACAGGCCCACACATTTATGGTCAACTGAGTTTCGATCAAAGTGCAAAGGAAATTTGGTGGAGAAAGAATAGTCTTCCACAAATGGTGGTGGAACAACTGGATTTCCAAATGCAAAAAAAAAAAAGATCTTCAATTCATACTGACACCGTATACAAAAATTAACTCCAAATTAATCATAAAGTAAAAGTAAAACATACAATTATAAAACTTCTAGAAGAAAACACAGAGGAAAATCTTTTTAATTGTGGTTTAGGCAAAAATTTTTAGACATAAAAACAAAAGCATAACCTATAAATGAAAAAAATCAATCATTAGACTTCATCAAAATTTTAAAATGCCTGCTTTTTGAAAGACATTGTTAAGAGAATGAAAAGACAAACCTCAGATTGCTTTGTAAAACATTTATCTCATAATGGACTTGTATTCAGAATATATAAAGAACCCTCAAAACTTAATAATAAAACCCCCAATTTTAAAAATGGCCAAAAGATTTGAATAGACACTTCACCAAGGAAGATAAACAGATGGAAAATAAGCAAATGTAAAGATGGTCAGTATTATTATTCACTCAAAAAAAACCAAACCCGTGGCCTTCGAGTCAATTCCCACTCGTAGCAACCCTATGTTCACTATGCAGATGCAAATTAAAACTATGAGATATTACTACATACTTGTTAGGATGGCTAAGATTAAAAAGATTGATCATACCAAGTGATGGCAAAGATGCAGAGGAAATGGATCTTTCATACACTGCAGGTGGGAATGTAAAATGGTATAACCACTTCAGAAAAGTTTGGTAGTTTCTTAAAAAGTTAAACATATACCACCTACTATACGATTCAGCCATTCCACTCCTAATCATTTACCCAAGAAAATGAAAGCATATGCCAAATAAAGCCCTGTACACAAATGTTCACAGCAGCTTTGTGTTTAACAGCCAAAACTGGAAACAACCCAAATGTTCATCAATAGATGAATGGATAAACAATCTGTGGTACATGGATACAATGGAATGCAACTAAGCAATAAAATGAACAACTGATACATGCTACAACATGGATTAATCTCAAAATAATTATGCTGAATGAAAGAAGCCAGGCAAAAGAGTACATAGTTTATGATTTCATTTATATAAGGTTCTAGAAAATAACAAACTAATCTAAAGTGACAGAAAGCATAACAGTGGTTGTCTGGGGACAGGGTAAAAGTGAGGAAGGGTGGGAGAGAGGGTTTAAAAAGGGGTATGAGAAAGCTTTTAGGAGAGATTGAAACGGTTATTATTTTCATCATGGTGATAGTTTCACAGATACATACACATGTTAAGGCATATGGAGCTCTTTAAAAATGTTCAGATTATTGTATGTCAATTATACATCAATAATGTTGTTTTTAAACAACACAATCAACAAACTTGAAAGGAAAATAAAACTGGGAAAATTCTTGCAAAATATATGCCAGTTAAAGTTATTCTTGAATCAGAGAGGGGGACATATACATGCATATCCATCCACCCATACACTCAAATGACAAAGGACATAAATAGGAAACTCAAAAAAGAAATATCAGTGGCCAACAATATGAAGCACATATAACTTCACTATTAATCAAAGAAGTAAAAACTAAAATAACAAGACATCTCTTTTCACCCACCAAACTGGAAAAGTAATAGAAGAAAAAGGTATATATTTTTTTGGTGCAAGCATAAGGAAATGGTCATTTTTATACCCTGCCAGAAAAGTAGAATGGGTATACTCTTTGACCCAGTAATAGTCTTCCAGGAATTAATACTAGACAGTTTTTAATTTTTTTTCTTGTTTTGGCAAAGGAGGCAGAGCATAAGTCGATACAGCATAGGAGGCATGAGACATTCAAGACAGGCAACATGGCTTCTTGCATCTGTTAAGTCTGGGATTTTTTTGCAGGCTTATATTTTATCTGAACTAGGTGCTGGGATTTCAGATAATTTTTATTGCCTTTTTTTTTTTTTTGCTTATTTGTGTTTTCTACATTTTCTGCAAACCTGTGTTAGTTCTGTAATTAAGAAAAAAGTGACACTAAAACTTTTATGTAATTTCAAAGTCTAAATTATAAAGTACAAAATAAAAATGGCAATATATGTTTTTCCCAGAAAATAATTTGATAATAGGAATCAAGAAACTGTAAGTAAGCTTATTTCTTCTAAGTAATTCTTTTTAACTGTAAGCTATAACTAAGAATAACTAAATTCTATAAGCAAATAATTAGAAACTCAAAATTTTTATAAAAGAATATTTTATCCCAATTTTATTATTTTTTTACTTTCCCTTTTATTTTCTTATAAAAATAATAAAAATCCATTATAGAAAATAAACGTGTTCCCATTTTATAGGAGAAAGCTAATTCATGGATCTGTGGACAATACCTTTTTGTACATGGCACAAAATACACGGTATTGCTCAGATTCATTTTAGCAGCAATCTCTTCCCCTTTATAACTTCAGTCTGCAGTATTTCTGGTGCACCTACGGAAAAAAGAATAAAATACATGTTTATAGGGGCAAAATAATTGCTAATGTGGTAGTTTGAAAATATTTACAAATATAAATGTAACAAAGTTAAATTTTTATCATCATCTGTAAAATGATAAGACTTTCACACTAAAGACACGGGCTACTCTTTTACAAGCAGTTCCAGGAAATAAATGTGTTATTAGATTTCAGAATCTCTATTGAGGCTTCCACTGGTTTGTCTGAGTCCAAGGAAACTCAGTAGAGGCGACCAGTCAACAGGCCTAATCTGGCAGAAGTGGTAATGCTGACTCTCTGTCATTTATATTTTGAATTACTTTCCCAATAGGCATGATGATTTACACTGACACATCAACCTCCCCTTTTCTAGGCACTCCTATAACCAATCTCAGGCATCTGGGGGGTAATGATTATTTCTAATTAAAGAAGTATATGTCCAATGAATAAAATGTAGGAAATATATACTATTGCATTATTAAAAAAAAAAAAAATCCATAATCCCACCCAGGACAAACTCCATTAACAATCCTGCATACTTTTTTTTTCCATGCACATATTTATTTATTCATGCCTATATTTATTTTGTTATCCAGATGAGATCATTGTACATATAATTCCATAGTCCATCTCTTTTATCTAACACTACACTGTAAGTATTTTGCCATGTCATTAAAAAATGTTCAGAAAGATCATTTTAATGGCAGCTCAATGTCTATGTCAGGAAAGGGCCATAATTCATTCACAACTGTTTCCCTACAATTGGAAACCAAGGCTATATTCAACCCTTTGTTATTTTAAAATAATAGCGTTCTGAAAATCTTTGTGCGTATTTTTATCTGTTTTGGGTGCTTTCCTTGGGATGGATTTCTAGAAGTAGAGATCGAAGAATGTAACAATTTAAAACTCATAACATGCACATATATTGAAATAATTTTAAGATGCCTGACTAGGCTTGGGGATGAAGGCCTTCCAGGAAAAAAATGAACAAAACAACTAGAAAAAAGGTGCTAACTTCCATTTTCACATTATCCCTGCTGAGGATGTCCTACTGTCCTCTCATGCTTCTATTTATAAACTGATCTTTTTCATTATTTTTTATTCTTCTGTCTGATTCTATGGCTGTGGAGCTCTTTACATTAATTGGTAGCTAAAGCCTGCTGGTGGCACAGTGGTTGAGAGCTTGGCTGCTAACCAAAAGGTTGGCAGTTCGAATCCACCAGCCACTCCTTGGAAACCCCATGGGGCAGTTCTACTCCATCCTATAGGGTCGCTATGAGTCAGAACTGACTCGATGGCACATAACAACAACAAAGCCTGCTGAATTCAGCATCACATTTTATTTAAACCAGCTATCAGCTAATCAAGCGCCAGGGTCTATGCGCCTACCCTGCTAATCTAGCAGGACTGCGGCTTCAGTGAACTAAAATATTCCTTATGGTGTTATATGATCACTAGTTGCTAAATTTCCAAGAAAGCAGTTCTAAATTAGGCATTTACTAACATCCCCATGTCCTGATTAATTTCAAATGCAGAAGACATTCACTCCTAGAAAATAGTTTTCTCATGCTACAGACATGCATGCTTAGTAATTATTTTCTCTCTAAATATTCGTTATCTTACATAATTTCTTAAAATACATATTCTCTCCATCTTTGCTTGCACAGCCCTGTAAATGTTCTTTAAAAAACTCTAAAACTTGTTGGAATTAAACCTTCTCAGTTGTATCTTTTTTTTTTTCCCTGCTAGAATACTACACATGTTATTTAGGATGAAAACTGTACTCTTGAAGTTCATCCATTAAACCTACAGGATGTTCTCATTCCATTTTACCACTCCCCTTCTTTCTTCATAAGGGTGTCTTGGATTCCATGAAACTGTCTTTTGCTGATTTTCCAGATTACTCCTTCTATAGCTCCTCTTCTCTCTGATTCCTAAATGAACGTGTTCCCCAAGGATTTGCCCTAGGTTCTCTGTGTGACTGCAAGCTGCTATCTAAATTTCTGTCCATTTAGTGATTTCAAGTATCACTATGTCACACGTCAATCCTGATCTCTATTCTAAGCTCTGGTCCCATATTTTCAAATATCTACTTGGCTTCTCCACTTAAATGGCTCACATGCACCCCACATTGACTCTTCCCTTTCCTTTGTCCCTTACAATTCAATTAATCCTCAATTCTGCTTCAAATATTTCTTACCTGTTTTTCACTTCCCATGTATATTGGCATTCATTATCTCTCTTCCCTGCTTCTGCTCTTTCGGCCTCTAGTCTATCTTTTCTGGAATCCATCTTAAAAACACTATTACCAAATTCACCTTCTTGAAGCACAGTTTAGGTAATAACACACCTCTGCTCGATCAAAATCCTTCAATGTCTCCCTAATGCCTACAGTATAAAGAGTAACTTTACCTAACTAACATTCAAAGCTGACCTCAAACCACTACTGTAACCTAAATTCTCAAACTTGATAATCAGGAAAAAAATGAATTACTGTATGCATACATTTTCATACTTTGGTCTTTGCGTAAGTTGTTCCCTCTGCCTGGAATGTCCAAATTCCGATTACTCTCGTGGTCTAGTTAAATGTCACCTCCTCTACAAAACCTACCACATTCTTCCTTTGCTACAATTTTAAATACACATATATTAGTGCTCTAAGCGGATGGCAAGTGCTTCTTCAGAGTAGAATACATATCTAAATCCATGGTTTGATTCCTACATGTTCATGACATCTTTACATAGCAGATATCCCATACGAGTCTGTTAAAATCTTCCTTAGAAGTAAAACTATCCTTATTCGCAGATGTCGTGATCCTATTCATAGAAAATCCCAGAGACTGTACAAGAAAGTTACTGGAACTAACAGAAGGATTCAGCAAAGTGGCAGGGTACAAGATCAACACATAAAAATCACTTGGGTTCCTCTACACTAACAAGGAGGACTCTGAAAATGAAATCAATACCATTTACAACAGCCCCTAAAAGCATAAAATACTTAGGAATAAACCTAACCAGGGATGAAAAAGACTTATATAAGGAAAACCATAAAACACTACTGCAAGGGACTAAAAGAGATCTACATAAGTGGAAAAACATTCCACGCTCATGGTTTGGAAGACTTAACATTGTGAAAATGTCAATACTACCAAAAGTGATCTATGGATAAAACGCAATCCTGATCCAAATCCCAACATTCTTTAATGAAATGGAAAAACTAATCTCCAACTTTATATGGAAAGGAAGGAGGCCCCGAATAGCTACAGCAAAACTGAAGAAGAACAAAGTAGGAGGCCTCACATTTTCTGATCTCAAAACTTACTGTATACCCACAGTAATCAACACAGCTTGGTATTGGTTCAATAACAGACACAGAGACCAAGAGAATAGAATTGAGAACCCAGAAGTGAATCCATTCATCTATGGGCAGCTGATTTTCGACAAAGGGTCAAAGTCCATTCAATGGGGAAGAAACAATCTCTTTAACAAATGGTGCTGGCAACACTAGATATCTGTAGGCAGAAAAATGAATTAGGATTCACAACTCACACCATGCACAAAACCTAACTCAAAATGAGTCAAAGACCTAAATGTTAAATTTAAAACTATAAAGTTCCCGGAAGATAACGTAGGGTTAAACTAGGAGACCTAATTTTTGGCATAAATAGTCTACCAAACAAAACTAAAAATGCACGAATGACAGAAGATAAATTAGATAACTGAGACCTCCTAGAAATTAAATGCTTATGCTTAGCAAAAGACTTTGTCAAGATATAAAAAGAGAACCTACAGACTGGGGGAAAAATCCCTTGTCAACGATATATCTGATAAGCGTCTAATCTCTAAAATATTTAGAAAACTTCAACAACTCAACAATAAAAAGACAAACAATCCAATCAAAAAGTGGGCAAAATCAACACACAAAACCCAACAGATAAACTAGATAACTGGGATCTTCTAAAAATCAAACACCTAT